TTGAAAAGAAGGAGATAACTAATTGGGAGTTTTCATTAGGTAACTATTGATGGAAAGGACACCGTCGACGAAAAAAGTTACAGAAAGAGTTTTCAATGAAGAAGATGAGATATGTTGAAACCTCCCCCCCCTCCCCAACAAAAAAAACCCACGATCTAGGCATCGTTAGAAATATTTTTAGGATAGTTTAGGTGTAGTTAGTGTTGTAATTAGGGATGTTTCATTCAATCTTTTATTACCGAAGTCCTTTCAATTGGATTAATAAAAGAATTCTATTTTATTAGTTATCTGTTTTGAATTCGCCTTTGTACAATAAGAATCACTATCGTTTTTATTCAAAGAAGTCCTGAAATAAAATATTTGAACCTATTCTAAATGGTCGGCTGAAAGTTATCTGTTGATTAAGACATTTTTATCAATCCAAGTAGATTTTGGAGCAACAAATATATAAAGAAACAAATTGACTATGTTGAAAGAAATGAATTCCACACATTGGATTATGATCCCCTCCATTTTATGTCTCTCTAATTGCTCTCCACTATCTATCACCATTAAGTGAAATCAAAAAAAAAAAATAATAATAATAGATGGTATATGGATCCCACACCATTCACAGAAAATCATTGTTTGGAAGTTGGGGTACAAGTTCACTAGGCATTATCTAGTACGCTATAATTAGTTGATGATATTCCATGTAAATAAAAATGTGATATCACTATTACATTTAATATTTACTCTACTCATGCAGGCAGTGTCTACCATGTATATGCTTGTGTCATTGTGTACAAAGTGACAATGGGAGACAAGAGAAAATCATAGGGATGTGAGACATCAGCTAGACGGGTAATTTGTATAAGACTTAATGTTTAATTTTGAATTGCGATAAGCAAATTAACATCTACTTTAACTCCCCACTTTTTTGAACGATGCAAGGTGTTGAATCACTGTGTGAGTTGTTAGACTGCCATTAATTAGCATATAGTAACCCATCAAATTCAATGTAGTTGGTGATTGTGAGTGTTCACTGTTCGAGTTTGGTTTGCTTCAATTGTTACTTTTAATGGCGGCCAATGTTCAGAATATAATGATCTCCAGGTTCGGATAAGATGGATTGAAATGACTACATATAAAGATGGAAAAATTCAAAAGCAAAGAGTTTTTTTTCGAGAAATTTTTATACACCTTACGATTCATAAAACTACAAATGAATGCATTATTCATGAACGACAAGAGATTGACCCGTGTAAAAAGTCATTTAAATTTATCCGTTTATCAAAAAAGGCATGACCGAATAATAACTTGTTCGGCTCCTGCACATAACACATACATACACACACACACACACACAATTTATATTTTATATATATTATATTTACTGTTATATACAAAATATAAACCCAGTCGAATTTGATAGAGTTGGGCCTAGGATAAATTGATTTTGGATAAAAAAACTAATGAATCGAGTTTTAACAATATGTTTGACGCCTGTTCGAGTTGATTCCCAACTTAATTTGAAGAAATTTAGTATTTGTTCCAATTAGACACCCAATTATTGTCACTGACTTATGGACGTAATGGGACAAACAAGCAAGAAAATATCACTTAGAATTAAAGAAAGTAATTAATATGATACTGACGTTGGGGTGATGAAAAAAACACGTAAGATTACATTGACTAATCTTCTCTTGAACATTAAGGTTAATCATTTTCGACTGACTATAGTCACAAAAATTAGTAATAATTCCAAAGTTTCATGTAAAAGAAGAAAAACACTCTTGAGTTCTTGAATGGTGAGATGAAACCGTCAATGGTTGCAAAGTCTAACCATGAAAATGACTCAAAACTATACCAAGCTCCGCCATCACAATCTCTGACGTTTTCATCCTCTTAAGTAAGAGCCACCACCCGTATCCACACACCGCCACCAAGACATGATGTTTGTTTATAGTTGAACTTTAATCCTAAAGTCTTAATTCTATCAATTTAACCTTCAAAGCTCACGTATTGAACCAATGTCATCATTCACATTAACTGTCATTTAAATTGGTAACGGAAATAATGTGTCAGACGGATAATACAATTTAAAGGTATTTATGTTTTTATGCTTGCGGAACAAATGACACAAATGTCACGTCATGTATAGAATAGACAGAAAAATTGGAGTAGAGAGATAGTTGGTAAGAGAGAGAGAGAGACCTGTGTGTGTCCTTGTTTGTGCATAGCGGTTGAGAGGAGTTGCTGGGTTTGGGGGTGTGTTGTGTTGTGTTGTGTGAGAGAGAGAAAAAAAATGGAAAAAAGAAGAGGTGAGGTAGAAAATGGGTGTTTGGGTGTGCTTAAATTTGTTCAAATGAAGAATAATTGTATTTTCTTTTACAATGTACCGATAAAAAAAGAAAAAGAATTGTATTTGGATGTAAAAAAAAGTATATAATACCTTAGGAACGGAAGTTCAACTAATGAAAAATTTTAGGGATTATTAGTGCAATTACTCGTGCATGGACTCGACACGATACGACATATTTTCGGGCCTTTATTGTATCATCTTGGAAGCGTGGGTCCAGAACTTGTCCAGCATAAAAGGTAGTGTGATCACGTTTGTCTATAATAATGATAATTATTTAGAGAAAAAAATTGTTGTTAAGCAGTAGTAATCCTACCAGAAAGAAGATAATCACTTGTAGGAAAAGGCCAGAGTAGGTGTTGATAGTAATGTAAAAAATGTTTGCAAATATATGGACGAAATAAGGTAAGTGATTTTCTTTTGATGTGTAGAGACCATGAACAATGGTCTGGAAATTAGTTTCTGACCTTCAACAACCTAAAAATTACTCTCTCTTTCTATGTCTCTCACTCTCTCTACCTAGAACCAGTGGACCAAAGAGTGAGATTTCACACGCAAACTAGCAAGGTAAGAAGATCAGGCTCAAACGTTAAATTACCCACAAGTTAAGGCATGTCTACCTCAACTTGTAAGAAGCTCAATCGTGAAATTACCCACAAGTTGAGGCATGTCTACCTCTTATGAATATGATGTCCCCAAGAAGTGGGCTAACCACTAAAGAAGATTAATGTTAGATAGACTTAAAAATTAAAGAGAGAGGCGGCTCGACACTGAAGAGAGACAGCTCAACACATTTTGGTGCGTAAAATAGAAATAACAAATGTTTTTTTATTTTTAATATTAATAATAAAATTATTTCTATTTTTTGAAATACAAAAGTATTAATTAAGTTTTTACATCTAAGTTTTTGTTATCATTGTTGAGTTTGATGGGAAAAGAGAGAGACGGGGGGGTGGAAGAATGATTAAAAAATTATGTTGGTAAGTTACTTGTTTTTATTTTTGGGTTAAAACTTGATTTTTAGTAATTTTAATTTTACTGCTAACTTTTTTTTTTTTTTTCAAAAAATTCAATTATAGGACATTTTAATTCATGGGCTTAATTAATAGGCCCAATACACTCGACTTGAAATATTTTGTTTGGATTTAAATTTACGTTTTTCATTGGACTTATTTTTTATGAATTTAAATTAATTGTTTTGTCTATTACTATACACTTAAAAATTACGAAATATTTTTTAGAAGTCGATTTAAAAGCCCAATCATTATTGGCCCAGCGCTCAAAGATCTGTTCGATAATACAATATGAAGTATGCTGTCTTGAGTTTGTGGTATTTTCCAATAATATAAGTCAATTTCTTTCCTTTGTATCACATAAAAATAAGGGCTTTATTGTAAGAATAAGTAAGAAAAATGGTGTGCATATGTAAATAGATGAAGGTGATTAGGTAATGGCCTTATAAAATCATTACTAAAGTTTTTTAATAAAAACATTTTACTTTAAGCCCCATAAGTATTACATTGATCCCACTTTACCCCTTCAACTACTGAGTTATTTCGTCTATTTTGACAATTTTAATGGACATTAATTGTTATGACAATTTAAAATTAATAACCAGAACTTAAGCTGTAGAAACATGATAACCTAAGAGGGCAATGTGCAATAGGGCTCATAGTTGTGGGGATTAAAGTGTAATTTTTCTAATTAATGCATTTTTTTTCCTGTCCTGCAATGTAACATTTTCCTAACATTTTACACAAACTCAGAGAAATTTATTATAAAAAAAAAAAAAAAAAAAAAAAAAACTAGAAGGTCTAACCCTGCTTATGTATACATGCTGTCACTTGTAATTCAATTATGACAATAACTTTGAGGACCACATAGACTACTAAGTCCCCAAAATGAATATTAGAATTTTATGTAATTCACTATAATTATTTTTTTGTTTTTCTTTAGATGGGAAAGAAAAGCTTGAAAAACAGTAGAGCCTCTCTATGTATGTGGGGACCTAATTTATGGATTTAATCTAAGAATCTAATTCAATTCAATCACGTATTGGATTAAAAGTGAGGTCTATTTAACATTAAAATTTACAACTAATCCAACGATTCCATTAAATTAGGTCCCCAAATTAACTCCCTACAACATTGCTCTTTCTTTAAACATTAACCTGCACAAATAGCTTAGTTATGTGGAGTTAGCACAAGGTGAAACTTAAGCTCAAACTTAAGGTAAGTTCAAGCATTTTAAACTTGAATTATAGTAATTTTTTGAGATTAAATCATGAGAGATTTATCCTTCATAAATATCTTAATTTTGACGTGAATAGCTTGTCTTTGATCAGACCAAAAGAAAAATTAATCAAATTACATGTAAATTAATCCGAATATCCTACATCATTTGTCAAACATTTTGAATATTTTCTGACATAACTTTGTTCCTGTGGTTATCGTGCGGAGGGGGGTATAAATTGAATTTGCCTTGGAAGGATCCTGCTTACTTAAAAAAATAATCTCAATTTTCCATCCATTATTTAAAAACTCTATAACAATAGACAGAGGGTCAAAATAGATAAACAGTTTACAAATCAACTTATACCAACAGGAATACCAAAAACCTGTATATAAAGACCTCACAATATCCGCCAAAAGCAGCAACATTTGAGTTGCACATTGGGTTACACCACAAGAGAAAAAAAAAAAAAAGAAAAAGAAAGAAAGAGAAGCACAGAGGGAGAAAGAGAGGGGAGAGAGAAAGATAATGGAAATGGATTCTCTTCTCCAAGCTCTGAAACCTATCCCCATATCAGTCTTCTTTATTGTCCCACTTCTATTCTTGTTTCTTTTGTCTCGGTTTCGCAGGAAACCTTATCCTCCGGGACCCAAAGGCTTACCCATCATTGGAAACATGATGATGATGGACCAGTTAACTCACCGGGGACTCGCCAAACTTGCTAAGCAATACGGTGGCCTCTTCCACCTCCGCATGGGCTTTCTCCACATGGTGGCCGTGTCGAGCCCGGAGATAGCCCGCCAAGTCCTCCAAGTCCAAGACAACATCTTCTCCAACCGGCCCGCCACCATCGCCATTAGCTACCTCACTTACGACCGGGCTGACATGGCCTTCGCCCACTACGGCCCGTTCTGGCGTCAGATGCGCAAGCTCTGTGTCATGAAGCTCTTCAGCCGAAAACGGGCCGAGTCGTGGGACTCTGTCCGTGATGAGGTGGATGAAATGGTCCGAGTCGTCGCAACCAACACCGGCTCGCCTGTTAACGTCGGCGAGTCGGTATTCGGGCTCACTCGGAACATTATTTATCGTGCCGCGTTCGGGTCGAGCACGCATGATGGACAGGATGATTTCATCAAAATTCTGCAGGAGTTTTCGAAGCTGTTTGGTGCTTTCAATATTGCTGATTTCATTCCTGGGCTCAGCTGGGTTGACCCGCAAGGACTCAACACCAGACTCGCAAAAGCTCGTGCTTCGCTTGATGGGTTCATCGACTCCATCATCGACGATCACATGGTGAAAAGGAAGGAAAATCGCGTGGATGAGGCCAATACTGATATGGTAGATGATTTGCTCGCTTTTTACAGTGATGAGGCCAAAGTCACTGAGTCCGATGATTTACAGAACTCCATCAAGCTCACAAGAGATAATATCAAAGCCATCATAATGGTAACTTCTTTGACTATGAACAAAAAGTTGGTTAATTAATATGTTTTTCAATTAGGTTTCTCAAAATTGTTCCATGGTTTTTCCCAATAACTACCAAATGGATGTTGTGTTTTCCAAACACCATTCGTTCTATTTTTGAGTAATGTTACGGATTTAAAAAAATAACATAATTTATTGATTTATGAGTGTATCCTTGAATTTTTTAGTTGGAATTCCATTACTTTAATACATTATTTCGTTAGTAAATTAAATCAATTTTTTTTAACCCTTAAAGGTAATTCACTTGTCAAGTTTATTCTCTAACAAGTTATAGATTTTAGAATCAATGCTTCTTACACCCCTTAAGAGTCTATCACTTTTGTTCTTTAAGAGACATGTCTTTAAAATATCTCAAACTACAGTGGCCGGTCTTAAAGCTTGATGAAGTAGTTAGCACAAGTCTAAATACTCTGTAACAAAAAAAAATTAGATCAATTTTTTAAGTTCTAACAGCATTACTCTTTGTTTTTATAGAAAGCACCAAGACATTTCAACGAAAATCTTATCAAAATCTAAAATTTCTAATCTTGTGGTCATTTGGTTTTTGAAATTTTGTATTTCACGGTTACAGAAGATATACACAAAAATAAAACTTTGATCCAAAGTCGTAATGCAATTAAATGCATAGCAGCTGTAGCTATAGCTAAGGGGTGTGTGAAAGGAACTATTTCTGCCAGGAAAATAAATACTTCTGTTTCTTATCATAAATTACTAAAAAAAATAACATTGAAAAATATAGCAAGTGTTGATGGTTTACGATTTTGAGGGCATGAAAGCAAGAAATAGAAAATTATTACAAGTTTTCAAATTGACAAAATGCTGACTTCCCACCAATAGACTTTAAACAACTGAGAAATTCCCAAAGCTATTTCATAGTAGAGTGATGATTGCTTAGGAAAGAAGTATTTTTGTTTATGTTTGCTAGATCTTTGGGAGAAAGATAGATTACCATAAATTTCACCTAATGCATGTTAGATTTCATTAACATAAGGAAAGCTAACTAATTTCAAGAAAAAGTATATAAATGATAGAAATAAATTCCCTATTCCCTCTACCTAAAACTTGGTATTTTTTGTATTATTAGGTGATGGATTACTATTATAAGCATAGTATATGAATATCATTACCTTATTGAAGATTGAAAGTCTAGATTAGATGGTTACTTAATTTGTGTCCCTTCTTCTGAATTCAATGTTTCTCAAAAATATGTGTTAAATTTATAAGTCAGTGTTTTTTCATTTTTTTTGGATTTATATAAGTCGTGATTAAAAGATTGGAATTTCTGAGGTTTGGGTTTATTTAGAAACTCAAACCTCTGTTTTGGAACTTTTTAAAGGTAGATTAGGAAAATTGTAAGTTTTAAGAGTCGTTTAACTTTTCGTAATGAACTTTCTTCCAAAATTATGTGAGAGAGTCCTAGGTTAGCTTAGGTTTGGCAAAGGGTGATCAACACTATTCGCAACACACATGATCTAATTAATTTCCTTCTTAGAGCTTAGGTTAGCTTAGGTTTTACAAAGGGTGATTAACTCTATTCGCAACACAGTTCTTCTAAACAAAATGAAACATCTCTCTCTCTCTCTCTCTCTCTCTNTCTTACACCCCTTAAGAGTCTATCACTTTTGTTCTTTAAGAGACATGTCTTTAAAATATCTCAAACTACAGTGGCCGGTCTTAAAGCTTGATGAAGTAGTTAGCACAAGTCTAAATACTCTGTAACAAAAAAAAATTAGATCAATTTTTTAAGTTCTAACAGCATTACTCTTTGTTTTTATAGAAAGCACCAAGACATTTCAACGAAAATCTTATCAAAATCTAAAATTTCTAATCTTGTGGTCATTTGGTTTTTGAAATTTTGTATTTCACGGTTACAGAAGATATACACAAAAATAAAACTTTGATCCAAAGTCGTAATGCAATTAAATGCATAGCAGCTGTAGCTATAGCTAAGGGGTGTGTGAAAGGAACTATTTCTGCCAGGAAAATAAATACTTCTGTTTCTTATCATAAATTACTAAAAAAAATAACATTGAAAAATATAGCAAGTGTTGATGGTTTACGATTTTGAGGGCATGAAAGCAAGAAATAGAAAATTATTACAAGTTTTCAAATTGACAAAATGCTGACTTCCCACCAATAGACTTTAAACAACTGAGAAATTCCCAAAGCTATTTCATAGTAGAGTGATGATTGCTTAGGAAAGAAGTATTTTTGTTTATGTTTGCTAGATCTTTGGGAGAAAGATAGATTACCATAAATTTCACCTAATGCATGTTAGATTTCATTAACATAAGGAAAGCTAACTAATTTCAAGAAAAAGTATATAAATGATAGAAATAAATTCCCTATTCCCTCTACCTAAAACTTGGTATTTTTTGTATTATTAGGTGATGGATTACTATTATAAGCATAGTATATGAATATCATTACCTTATTGAAGATTGAAAGTCTAGATTAGATGGTTACTTAATTTGTGTCCCTTCTTCTGAATTCAATGTTTCTCAAAAATATGTGTTAAATTTATAAGTCAGTGTTTTTTCATTTTTTTTGGATTTATATAAGTCGTGATTAAAAGATTGGAATTTCTGAGGTTTGGGTTTATTTAGAAACTCAAACCTCTGTTTTGGAACTTTTTAAAGGTAGATTAGGAAAATTGTAAGTTTTAAGAGTCGTTTAACTTTTCGTAATGAACTTTCTTCCAAAATTATGTGAGAGAGTCCTAGGTTAGCTTAGGTTTGGCAAAGGGTGATCAACACTATTCGCAACACACATGATCTAATTAATTTCCTTCTTAGAGCTTAGGTTAGCTTAGGTTTTACAAAGGGTGATTAACTCTATTCGCAACACAGTTCTTCTAAACAAAATGAAACATCTCTCTCTCTCTCTCTCTCTCTCTGAGAGGATACTAATGGTGTGATGTAATTATTCTCAGGACGTGATGTTTGGTGGGACAGAGACGGTGGCCTCAGCCATAGAATGGGCAATGGCGGAGTTAATGAGAAGCCCGGAAGACCTCAAGAGGGTCCAACAAGAACTCGCCAATGTCGTCGGTATCGACCGGAAAGTAGAAGAGAGTGACTTCGACAAGCTAACATACCTCAAATGTGCCCTCCGAGAGACTCTCAGACTCCACCCACCTATCCCTCTCCTCCTCCACGAGACCGCCGAGGATGCCGAGGTCGCTGGCTACCATATTCCGGCGAAGTCACGTGTCATGATCAACGCCTGGGCCATCGGACGTGACAAGAACTCTTGGGAAGACCCTGAGACCTTCAAGCCCTCCAGGTTCTTGAAACCCAACGTACCAGACTTCAAAGGAAGTAACTTCGAGTTCATACCATTCGGGTCGGGTCGAAGGTCCTGCCCGGGCATGCAACTGGGACTCTATGGTTTAGAGATGGCTGTGGCTCATCTTCTTCATTGTTTTACGTGGGAATTACCGGATGGGATGAAACCCAGTGAGCTTACCACGGATGATGTGTTTGGTCTCACTGCTCCAAGAGCGAGTCGACTCGTGGCTGTACCGAGTCGGAGACTGGTTGGTGCACTATATTGAGAGAGAAGACTTGAGGGGAAGGGGTGTTTTGCTGAGTCACTCTCTTTTGTGAGAACTATTGCTGTTTCTCTGTGGATATGAAGAACTCTTTTCATTTGTTTTATTCGGACATTTGGATTGTAATTTTTCTTTTTTATTTCTGCTATACTCATCAAATAAAGGTCATCAAATAAAGATCAACAAAGAAATTCGGTTTCTTTTAGAATAAGGGGGAAAGGCACCTTTGAATTACTTTTGTTTATAGATTTTGTATTTAATTTCAGTTTGCATTTTTGAGGTCAGGATTGTGGGGGCGTTGACCTCCAATACGATAAAAAACACGCGTTTTTTAGACTCGTAAATATGATACAAACTTCAAATATTACAATCACCAGATAATTACGCACACATCCATTAAAAAAAACCTTATACACAAGAAAATACTTGACAAATAGAGTTGGTATTTCGCCAATTGTCTCATCTGAGCTATCTTGATAGTTGGGGAGGTAACTATATTGTTGCATAAATACTTGACATGAAACTGTAATTAAACAGTAACATTGTGTTTTATGCAAGTATGACTATGTGTAATATTATATAAATTGGGTCCACATTGCAGTTGGATATGGCGATAGATTCTAATGAAATACAATTAATGTCTTTAATCAAAACTCAGTGCCAAAAATATCATTTACCCGTTGAAATTTATATGCAAGGGTACATTCTAGAGGTCAAATCTCTATAGCTAACTCTGTATATTTCACTAATTCTTGTCGCTGCAGAATCACAATTTGCACCGAGTGGGGGTGGGTGGAGGGAGGGAATGGTAGGGTAGGAGAAGATTGGCTAGGTGAGTTTGAAGGGGGCTTGCTAGAATAGGAGCAAGACGGGAAAGATATAAATCTCTTGCACCATATAAGTCCTGTAATACGTTTCTAGACGAAATTCTAGCCCGTACAACATGCAGAGTGGAACGGATCTCTTACCACCAGTATAGAGATCCAACATATAGCGAATAGATCAAATGAACTAGCACTCAGAGCTGACTTTTCACCTTCCTGTTGTTCAAACCCTCATGTCACCACCGGAGCCACCTTATTAGACCACCTGCTCCGGTGGTGACATTGATCTTCCCTCACTTGGTTTGAATAACTAGTTAGGATTACCATGAACCCTTGTTTCTACTTCTCAAGCCAGGTGGGATACAGGGGTTCCACACTAAATCATGTCACCAGAATGACCCAACTTCATCCCTCCTAGCAGTCCTGCTAACTTGAGAAGGTTCTTGGTGACCCATACACTAGATTTACAACTTGCAACGTTGGACTATATGATGAAGTCTGATTGTAAGTTGTAACCCACAGTTTGCTTATTTAACTGAAACTGAAATAAGGTTTCTACGACAAGGATTGATCCAGATCACATCGGAGTTCTGAATGGTCCAAACGGGGGAAAAAAAAAAGGTCAAATACTCTCGCTGAATGGTTCCTCTCACTATTGCTCATTTCAATCAGACGATAAATGCCCACCACTGGGCTTGAGCCTACCTTACTGTCAAATAGCTATCAAGTGTCTCCAGAGGAAGCAATTCCTCTAAAGTTTTCAAGTTTTTTCAGGTTGGCAACAAAAGATAAAGGCCCCTGTGCAGACAACACATTTGGTCATCGAGAGTTCGTCTTCATGCCATTAAGAGGGAAGTTCAGAAAATAACCAAAGAAAGCAACTTCTTTCGTGGGGTCAATCAATAAAAAAACTAGCCAGCAGGCCAAAAGCACGAAAAAGAGTCTTAATCAATCTGGTTCTCGAACAATGCAATCTCTCAACGCACCCAATATATATGTGACCAATGCGATCTCAACGCACCCAATATATATGCCGGGCATCGCCTGTATTCTCAAAAAAGTTACCATATTGTCCAAGAATTTTACAGAGCTACAAGTAAAAGGGACAATTGGTTACAAATAAGGTGATATTTCAATTATTCCTCTCACACAGCCAAACTGATTAGGAACTGTGCATCACAAGTTTTAAGATTGCGGTGGCAGTTTGTTGTGTTACCATTTATGTGCTGGTATTCAAAAATGAGATGAGAATTGGGACTTCAATTGTCTCAGCGAAATTTGTATTAGAAGGATGCAGTTGTGGTTCAGTACCAGGATGCCAATAAAGCCAGCTTAGGGCTTCTTTTTCATTTGTGGCGAACAGCAAGGTACACTATGCAGACCTAGAGTTTTCTTGTCGACAGTGCAATATTTCAACTACCCACTAATGCAACAATATGATCTTATACATTATTATTCTGTTCTCCTTCTAAATGCATGGCTACATTGAGCAAACAAGTGCACCAAAGGAAATAGGTGTTCAGTGAAAACGAAAAACCAAGGTCCAGGTATAATCAGGATGCTTGTTCATGACACATTGAGAGTGTGATTCAAATTTTCTGTTCTTTTCGCCAATCAGCAACCAATCTTTTAGAAGATCAACATCATAATTCTTCTTCTTTTTTTCCCCTTGGGGTTAGTCACCATTGATATGCTACAAGCTTACATTACAATGCGAACTACAGCAAGACCAACAGCAGAGATGGAAACAAGAGTACCTATGCAGTACTTTATCACATCATATTTTGATGCTTCTAAGTGAGCCCTCAATGCATGAATTTCCTGAGACCATAAAAGTTCCCAAAAAATGAAGGAATTGGATCAGAAGTTTAATCAGTTAACAGGACAACCACCTCTCTCAGTTGGATTAGTATACTCACTCGATCAAGTTTGTTAGTGAGGTTAGAGGTTTCTTGATTCTGATTTGCCAGGTCATCCCTGATTCTCCTGCATGGGGTGGACAGTACAATTTTCATAATTTATAGACATATGCCAACAGATAGACACACATATTTGCACCCGCTACACGTGAGTCATGTTATGCTCAAATACCACGTAATGTATCTACTTCCTTACCCCCTTTCAAGATTTAAATCCAAACGCTGCCCAGCTGTAACTTTGTCAATCTCATACCTACATCGCAATAAATTTGTATTCTTTAAAATTCACAGTGAAAAAACATGGCAACGGACTAGGTAAAAAGGAGTAGTAGTTTGCACTTTCTATCAACTGACCTCAATTCGCTGCGCATCTTCTCTATATCACTCTTCAGTTTTTCAGTCTCATGTTGTAACAAAGAAAAGTGGTGTTCCTACATGACAATGAAACAAATAACCAACTGAACCAAGTACGGACAATTCCATTAAGGAAGTAGTTATTCTATATTCGTAAATTCTTGAACCATTTAGAATTAAACAGATCTAGAAACAAAGGGTGCATGCCAAACACAGCTTGAAGTTTCTAAATTGGCAACAAATGTGGATAACTTCAAAGGAAAATAGAGATCGAAAAAAATTCTCTGCTCACATGTGGACAGGAATTGGCGGTATCTTTGATGTCATAGAAGTAGTTCTCAGTGGTTAAAAAACAAATTATTCGGAACTACAGAGGGCAAGGAAATGGAGAGTTTATACACACTGCACATTCCTTGAACTTGCGGAGATTTTCATCGTGTAACAATCTGTAAAATTAATTTCAACTATACTTTAATTTAAACCAAAACATTTATTGCTAGAGTGGGAAGACAATTAATTGTTAGAAATGCCGATGACACCTAGCATCTCCACTGGGCCCCAACACTATTAACCATTCACATTCAAGTGCCATTGGGTCATTGACCATTTGAATTTCAAGCAAGAGAGCAAGTGATCACAATTTTTGTGACAACAAAACAAACATTATGTTGCATACCGTCCTGTGTCACAAATTCAAGCCTCAGCATTTAACTACAAGCTCCTGAGATGTCTCAAGTGCCTGTTTAGACTTTCCTTTGAAAGTGTAACTACCAAATATTTTACTTGTAATCTCTTAAAAAAAAGCCATATAACCCCACACCATTTTACTTAAACAATGTGAACTATGAATGACTTCACACCCATTTATATTTTTGAAACAGGGAAAAATGAATAAGGAAAATCTTCCGGAAAGTATGAATATTGAAAATCTTAAGAAAATATTTAGTCTTCATATTTGGCCAACATTTATAATTCACCAGAAAAGAAACAAAGCATGTAGTAAATTAAGATGTATCTGACATTCTGAGTAGAAGTCGATGTAGTTCAAGCATTCTAATTCCAAAAAAAAATTTTTTTTTTGTTCTTGTCCTACGGAATACAATAGTTGCAGGCAAACCATGTCGAACATATAAGCAACTATACAGCTTTGTCTTTACCCTCTACTTGCCAGTTGCCACCCAATTAATTTTCCAGTGTCAGGAATACACTACCAAATCATTAATCTCCTTCTGAGAACATATACAAAAATCACCCTGGGCACATGCAATATATGCCCATTGTGGCCTTTTACGAAGATTCTCAAACTTTGTTTAGTGAAAGGCAAAATATAACTCGCTCTGTGCTCACAGCACAACAGCATGACAATTCTCAAAAAAATGTTGATATCAAGTCGGGGTCTAATGACAATATGTCTGCTGCCTATTGACATTGTAGTCCAGGGCATGAATATTAAAAAATAGTTTATTGGTATGTTAATTGTCCTTGGGATCAAGTATTACCCACTGTAAACCACGTCTGACGTCACCTTTTGTCAATTCACTAACAAATTGAGGTTAGACTGATTAATTTTTAATGAGGGCCTTTGCACTTAATTCAATAATAATCTTAGTTGCACCTAAATGAAGACTCGTTTATCCTTCTTGTGACGCCCAAAAATATTTATGTATGCATGTATTTTTGTATGTATGTAGGTAGGTAGGTAATACACACTTATATAGTCTTTCTAGCCATTTCTGAAAAATAAAACTTGATGAGAGGTCTGAATTTCCAAAATTTTTTAAAACCAAAAAAATTATATGTCAGCTTACTAGATGATCTGGTTTTTAGAGTTTGCTAGTCCAACAACATAAACTTCCTCCTTTTACATGACTCAATGACTGTTTCCATTATCCTATGACAATATAGGCCTGGAAACTTTTCTCTTTTCTTCTTTATTTAATGGTATGATCATAAGCCAGCAAAGTTAACATGTATCGAAAATTATCTAAATTTTGATAGCACCAAGAGCAAAATATCAGGCTCTAAAGGAAAAGAGTCACATCTACTATAGTCACACACCAACTGACAGGACGAATGATAATGGACATACAATATAACGTCTATTTTGAAGTGAGACTCAATAACAAGGATGATAGTCATTAGCCAACCACAGACCAAAACAAGTCTTCTCTAGCCCTAAAAGCATAAGGTATTGTGGTTAGCTAATTCTCAATTCCTCTGTACCAATTTGAACGGTTGCTCCAATAATCAGAATAGAGGGAGAATCAACATTAAAAGAAAAAAAAAATCCTTTGTGTTGCACTGGGTAGATTCAGCAACAACATCTATAAGTTACAGTTGCCAATGATTACAAAAGACAGAAACCATCAACCCCACATGTAATACCTGTGAGCTTTGGACTTCAGACTTGAATTTGGACAAATTGGAATCTTGAGTCATTTCAATCTGCATAACAAGAAAAAAAAAAAGAGACAATATCTAAAAAAAACTTGGAAATTGTAAAAAGTAGAGTAGGATATTCTAAATACACACATAATATCTGGATAATTAGACTTACTTTCTGCATTTCACCTTTGGAAACAAAGGAATGAGCCACATTTTCCAAGCTGTCATTCAACACTTGGGTTATGGCTTCCGTTATGGCCTCCGCTTGTTTGGACGGCACACCTTGCGCTTCCAATCTCCTTACCTTAAGAAACAAATAATCCCTAACCTCTCATCAATTTCCATCCAATTAGTATTTAACCTCACACCCATCATTTGACTAGGGCAGAGAAATTAACCCGATCTTGTACAAATTCAATTTTCAAAAAAATCCCAAACCGAAATGCAAAAAAAATAACAAGAGGAAGGAAGGATTTGATTTACAAGTGCTAATGTGTCGACGAGAAACAAGCGCTTGCCGTTAGATTGGACGAGCTGCGAAATCTGCCGACGATCAAATGGGCTCGAATTCAATAAACGAGTGGAAGATTCAATTAACGCGGACTTAGAATGAAGGCCTCCGAACAAAAACAGGTTGATTCCCGAACTGGTTCCGAGTTGCCCAACCCGCCTATACGCCGCATAATATGCGGCCATTCAGTTCAGATCGGTATTTAATAACCGAAAATTCGCTCAGACTTGGACAAAACAAACTTTCTCCAAATAGTTCTGGTGGTGAATTTTCGCCAAATTGATTATGTTTTGTTCCTCTGGATTGCTAATATCGTGGCAACCCCCGGATAGGCCGCCGGGTCCAGGTCGTCGGGATCGTGTTCGTCCTCGGGAATCGTGGAAGTGAAGCTCTGGGCTTTGTTGGTTGATTTTTAAACTTTTTGCGTCCCCACTTCATTCGGGTAGTTTTGCCTAAAAAAGAAACCCGAGTTCAACGTGCATTTCACTCTCTCCGCCTTCCCCGTCAGCCCCCTCTTTCTTATTCTTTTATCTAAGGGTGCGTTTGGTTAAAATGAAAATATCAATCGAAAGTGAAAATAATAGATAGTGAAATAAAAAAATAAGAAAATGAAAGAAAATATATTTTTATGTATGCATTTAGTTAGTATGAAAAATTTATCAAAAAATTTTAAAAAAATTTTATTTTATTATTTGAAAAAAAAAATTATAATTTTTTTTTTTAAATTGTCTAAATTATCTTTAATTATATTAAATCAATTTAAAGAAGAAAAAAATATGTATTATAATTAAAATTTGATTTTTTTAAAAAAAGTTACTCCAACCTAATTCGAACAATCATCAGCACGAAGGTCTCTAAGTCAAATTATATTATTAACTAAATTCATATCAAGATTTTTTAAAATTAATAACTAATAAAATATTTTAAGAAAAATAAAGGTAATATAGGAAGTTAGTTATACATCACAACTTTCTCGTATTTCCTTGTGTTTTTTGTAAGAAAAAAAAAGTTGGCTGGTTGTGAGAAAATCTAAGCATGAAAGAAAAAAAAAAATTCTTTCATTTTTCATTTCATACTAACCAAACACATTAAAAATTTTAAAAATTTCTCTTTCTTGCATGTTCTACCATAATCCCACTAAACAAACGGATCCTAAATAAATTTACAATAAACACGAAAGATATAGGTGAGAATCAAATTTAATGACTAACATTATAATTTGTTCTTATTTGAACCATACCTTTAGACCGATTCGCCATAAATGAACCCATACTATTAGACAATTCGGGTTTTCTTCGATCCTCTTGCCTAAAATAAAAAATAATAATGTTTCATAAATTCGTTAATTGAAAATATTAGTACCTTTTTATAGGAAGGAAATCTAAAATTATTAATACTAGACAGATGTATTTTTTTGTAGTTAATAGATTAACCTGAGTTCAACTTATATCGATTTTAATCCAAATATTTGAACCTAATAACTGTCTATGCTTGTATTTTTAAAATTTGAGCCACACATCTCGAGTTGATTCATATGGGATTTTTAATATTCGAGTTAAAATCAAGTTGAAATTCAAATTTATGTGCTATATTACACAATTCAAGCATATACTTGGGATCAATTCGGCTTGATCCAAAAATCACTATGTCGGATTAGTTTTTTGTCCAATGCCAAATCAAGTACTAAAAATTTCCCGTGCCGAGTACTTAAAATCTCCATCTAAGTACTGAATATTTTAGATAGTAAAGAAATTCTCAACCCGTCACCTGTTCACAATCTCTTAAATTCAGGTGATGTATTAGTGAACCAACCCCCAAGAAAAAAGAAATCCCCCTCAAGCTCTCTACCGGTTGATTTATTGCTTTAGTACATTATGAGAAAGCAACGGTACAAGGAGGACCGGAGGAGAAGATAAAACACTGAAAAGAAAGAGAATGATTGCCAATGTTTCTGGTCATTTTCTTGGTTCCGTCATTCTGTGTATATACAGAATCAGGATTTTTTACTTTGATCGTCTTCTGTAGGGATCGAGAACGTCATCAACTCTTTCTTTTATGTGATTGCCTACTTTACGCATGTTCTTGGCCACCCCCATTGCAACCAAGGTTGCATTTCTTGTAAACCTGTATTTTTTTTTAACAAGACACAAATGTGAGCCTCATGTTATGAACCCTGTATAGACAAGTGCACCAATTACAATAAATCCAATTTGAAATTCAATCATTAATCATGCCATTGTCTTGCCTGCTCAGGAACTCATCCCCTACAGAATGAGTTGGCTTCTGCGATCGAGGCTGTGGAAATCCACGACCATCTACAGAAAACAACTCCATTAATTAGTTCATGAGACTACAGGAGAACATATCCTTGTAATATTCCTAACAAGAAGCAGATTAGGTGTAATATTCCAACTAACGCATGAAATGTCAAGTCCGAGCCTATGTTAACAGATATCAACATCTTTCAGAGCGTTAAAGTCAACTATCTAAAACCTTGCCCCAACTGCTCAAGGTCTATCAAGAACCATAAGTTCTGTTAATGATGGATTAATCATTACTGCTTATCAAATGGCCCTGGACAAGGCCATTATAAGCTGGATGCTCATTAATGGACACCAAACAGAATTCATGACATCAGTCTTTGCTCCTTGCCTTCTTAACTCTGCACACACAGCCTCTTTTTTTTTTTTTTTCTTTTTCCTCTATAAGTAAATGCGACAAGAAAAGAGAAGGCACCAAGGAGCTAAGCAGGAAAAAAAATAATTGGTCACTATTTTCACTTAAATCAATCAACTATTGTAACCAAGATATATGAATGGGGCATTAATACATTCTTGAATGGATTTCATTGAAGTGCTTGTGCCCCCTTAGAGCTGGGGCAAGCAAGAAAAAACACTTGATCTTCAATTCAAGATCTTTTGGTGTACTTGGGGAGAGCGGAATCACCTTTTTCCCCTTTTGAAGTGGGTGCATGATAATTTTGAATTTTTGTTGGTTGAATAGATGAATATAAAGTTTTGTGCAGGAAGGCTGACAATCATTGCCATTTACCAATATATCTAAGTTGAACCACCAGTGTTAGGGTTTGCTTTTCAAGTTTCTTTGCCGGCAGACCTCTATCAGATTCTTTTTAGGTTCTGCAGATATTTTGGATAGCCTCACATGTGACGAGCTTCAGTTTCATTTTCAATGTCATGTGGCCATGGTTGCCCCATTTTTTGTCACCTTCTGTGAGAAATATTTAGCAAGACCATAAATGAAGAAATATCAAATTTTGTGATTATGGTGTCTATCACCTCTGCTCTTACATTGACAACAGGTATCAATAATTGGTGCCACATTTCAATTTTATGGAGAAGTAGGACCTAGGCTAGTGGTCACACAGCAATCCCATCACCTAAGCAAATACCAAGGGCATTGAAATTAAAAAAAAACCTATAAAACAATCTTCAACAATACACGGCATGAACATAATCCAACTAATGTACCTTCTCTGTGATGAACATGAGCAGGAACAGAGTCAGCTGTGGTAGCTCTTCTGTCCACCAAAACCTGCAGCAAGAGTAAACATCAGTGAGCTATGCATTTGGGGATCAAATGAGTCATTGAGGAAAAACGGAGACATAAAAGAACAATTATGATCTGGGGTTAAATCTGAACATTCAAGTGACGGCCCACCAACATAGCTCTCATTTACTCCAGAAATTCACAATATATTTTTATACAAACGAGTTATAAAGTATAAATTCAAAACATAAGAATTAAGTAACCACATGTTAATCTTAATTCCCTTACGAATATGTGTCTCTCCAATAACAAGAAATAATGGCCAGAGCAAGGTAACAACAAAAACAACTTGCTGCACTCCTCCGTCTATAAAACAAGAAATAGCAAATCAAAGAAGCATCATGCTGCGCAATCATTACAGATCACATAAAAATGAAAACAATAGAAGAAAGGGGGTCGAGAGAGGTTACAACCTCAATGCCCACACAGACTGGCAACTCAGCTTGTGATTCTTGCACATCAGTCGATTGGTTTTTTCTGTCTGGATAAACCGAGTAACCGACGCAAGCATACCTGAACTCTGTAAGGTTCCTACCCTCTTTAGAAGCTTCCATCTCAGATTCTCCAACAATGTAGCGAGGTACTAGTCATCAAACTTGGAAATCAGTATCCACCAAGGGGTAGTAAAACAAAGAAAGAATCAATATAAAATATAGGTAGGAAGCAAATAAAATCTAGTAAGGCATAGAAATCGCATTTTTACGGTAAGACTTGTGAGGCAGATAAATTTTATTCTGAATAAAAGGACAATCATCACAAAAGACTACATAAAAAAACTTTTGAATGCCAATCTACAGGTGAGATGGCACGTAAATTTGGAAAATAGTTACTAGTCTTGCTTAAAGAACCAGGCACCTAAAATATCAACCTTACAAGGCAATCTTCCTTTCCCGCATTAAGTGCACATATAGAGCATATCTTGCATATTGCCCAGTTTTATTAGCCTAAACAGAGGTTCTCCCAACAGGAAACCTTAGCCGCAGATGAAATAAGAAACACTATCTTCAACCAGCTTTATAAAGCCCATAACTATAGAACATAAAACAATTAAATCCAATTTGTTAAGCACTAGATCAAGGTTAGGTACCAACTGTCAAGCTCATAAGAGTACCGTGATACAAAGGATTGCGCAATAACTAATCATTATACACAAAATGATTATCTTTAACACCCAAAGTAGTACGTTGGCTCCAAACCGTAACAAAGCGAAACTAACTCCCCAAAGTAAAAAAGTCGACTCCATAGGGAGGATCTCCGGTTGAAATAAAAATGTAAACTCATAGAAGATGCTAGAAAAATCAAGTATAATCTGTTGCCTCCATTACATATATGAAGAAATGAAGAAAGCTCATGACGGTTTAATACAAGTAGGAAGTCAGCTATCTTCCCCGCACATAGGCCATAGCACCCAAACAGCATATATAATGAACAATATGAGTTGCCAAAGTGCAGCCTTTCCATTTTCTAGATCAAACACCAAACAAACATATTACAAGCACCTTCATTTTCTCATCATTCCAGAGCCACACAAAAACTAAAGCACAGACCAGTTTACCATCTCATATACTTATATTCACTTCTAATTAAGCCTTTTAATATGAGTGCATATCCATTGAAATTGGAAGGCCCAATGAGGAGATAAGTTGAAGAAGTTTATATATAAAATGCAACGGCATGTCATCCAAGAGAAATGTGGCATCAACTAGGGACAGCTTGTAAGGAATTAGACGTTACCAACCAAAAATTAGTGTGGGTGTGGCTTCAAATATCTATAGTCACACTCTATGCCCAATACGACTTCAGTTACCTATAGTCATTCCATATGTACCCAGGTCAATCATAAACCATCAAACATTTCATGATGTCCTCATAAAGGGCAGTATTACCATCCCCAAAGTAAAAGAGATAAAGCCCTATCAGAAGTGGAATTCTTTAAACCAAAGTATGCAAGTCAGTCCAATAATATTGCAATTTGCACCCAATTAAACCAAACTGAAAGAAAGAATCCAAACAGCAATTACCAAATAGGCAATAAAGAAAAGAATATAATTAAAGGAAAAAACTAAGCCTGATTCACATTAAGTTAATATCTTTGCCAGGAAAACTCACAGGCACAGAAACGGTATTGGCCATATAAATGCAGAATAATCAGTATCTGACAACCTTAAAGCAGCAACCATCAAATTCTCAAAAAAAAAAAAAATATATAGTGCGTAGAATACAAGCATTGAAACAGGTCTCATGGCATAGAAGAAATGAAAATTGAAACGAGCTCACATTTATATCAGCATGAATGACTATAGATGTGGTATATATATATATATATATATATAACATTTAATATATATATATAGACACATAAATACAGAGAGAGAGACCTTGGGGAAGAGAACGGGTGATGCCGACACAAAGAGGGTTGCGAGATTTGGATTTGATGGTGGATGAGTAATATAGACATCCCTTGCACGATTTTCCTTGCTTTGAAGAAGAGCCTGAGCCTCCAGGTTGTACTTTGTTCCGGTTGTCATTGGTGTTAGGGCTTATATCGTCTCCTCCACCGACGATCTCTTTACCCGCCACCGTCTCCTCCTCCATCGCTTTGCAGTCTATAAACCAACTCTCTCTCTCTCCCCTATCGGATTTTCGATATCCAATCCGATTTTTCTTTCTTTATGAATTTCGGAAATAATGGCGAAGTTGATAATACCAACCCCGACAGGCGGCAAGTTGATCGCTTCACTATACCCTAAGACGGTGCCGTTTTAGTGTCCAACGTACAATGATATAAAGTTTCCCTTCTGTTTGTAATGTCACAACGTTACCGCATGTTATTGTTCATTTCAGCAATTAATGACATAATCACCTCTCATGTTTCAATAATGACACATATTTCTTCGAGTTTGCGACACCCTATTACAACCGACATGCTTCAGCTATAGTATTCTAAACTTAGGGAAGAAAACCACAATGTACCAAATTCTATATACTAAAATGATATCCTACAATTATAATTACAGATTATTTTACTTAGATATTTTAAAATTTATCATTTAATTACTCAAATCTCTTTATATTTAAAATATTACACAAATTCTCTTGAAATTTGTATGTGGGTAATCTTAGTCTACGGCCGACAATGTTTTCAATAAATTATATTCAAACCCTTGAAGTTTGTAAATATGTAATACTTAGGCCCATCATATTTACAATATTATAATTAAACCAAAAATATTCTAATTAAAGTTAGAATATCAAATATTTTAAATTTTACAACCAAAATTCATGTATTGTTATGGCATTTATTAAAATAAAATCAAAAATAAAAATTTATTTTTTTATAAAAAAAATTATAATTAGTATACAATTATACTATCTATTAGAATTTAATTTAGTCATTTAAACGATATAATTAAACTACCAAATTACTCCAATTAAAACTAGAAAATATTGTGTCTATTACAGTTTGACCTATTATTTGATTTTTTAGTTTTATTCAAATAAATAGTATAATATACTAATTATGATTTTTTTTTAAATTAGATTTTTATTTTTGATTTTATTTCAATAAATAACATAATAGATTATGAATTTTGATTGTAAAATTCATGTTTTATTATGAATGACTTAGACCCCTTGTTTAATTTTTTAGTTTTATTTCAATAGATAGTATAATTGTATACTAATTTCAATTTTTTTTAAAAAAAATTATTTTTTATTATTGATTGTATTTTAATAAATGATATAATAAAATATAATTTTTTGTTGTAAAATTTAAACTATTTGATATTATTTTTTTGATTAGAATATTTTTTATCTAAGTATATCATTTTAAACTTGAGAGGTCTACGTATTATATGTCTACAAATTTCAGAGGGTCTGAATATAATTTACTAATAGGTATACTAACAGATATTAACGGCAGGGGTTTAAGTATTATGCGCTTATTAACTTCAGAGGGTCTATGTGTAATATTTTTAATGTTAGGAGATTTGAGTAATTAAATGACAAACCTCAAAAGATCTGAATGTAACTCACTCGTATAATTACTGTAGGGGTGTTCACCCTACCATACGGGTAAAAAATTTAGTCTTCTGTATTCCTACCTGATACTTTGCGAAAAAAAATTTTCTTACCCTACCTTACCCGATCAGGTGTAGTATTCCTACCCGACTTCCTATTCGATTAATCGGGTAGGAAGGCGGGTAAACACTTTTGTAGCTATTAATTTTTGAATCATTTTAAGAATTTAATTAAATAACATGCACCATTTCAACAACACAATAAATCAATAATACTAAAATCTAAAACAATTACAACAACAATTATAATTGTTTTAGCCATCAATCCACCATAATTGTTACAAATGCAATCCACCATAATTGTTACAAATACAATCCACCATAATTGTTACACAAATACAATTCACCATAATTGTTACACAAACACAAATACATTAAAATCATAACTACTTCGCCTGTGGCAGTTCACCATAAATCATGTAACTTACACAAAAAACAAATTAATATTTTAGCAATTTAAACATCCACAACAATAACAAATACTCTTATAATTACTAAAAAAAATCTAAAAAAATTAAATAGTACCTTTTTTGCTAGTGTCATTCACCTATCTTCACTCAAGGGAAATTGAAATTGTCTCTGCAGTTATTTTCAAGATAAAAAAGAGTATGGAAAAAAATTAGATACGAAGAACTCATCAACAAATAATAAAAAAATAACAATAAAAATATATAAACCTGAATCTAGTTTATAGCTTTCTGAATCATTCAAAATATCTTCAAAGTCATAAGCAATGGATGACGATTGAAGCCAATTTTGTACACATATGAGACCCTCAACTGTTTTGAGTGCCAGACAACTCCGAAAAAGATCTAAAATACGATCTCCAGTGCTAAAAGTTGATTCTGATGCCACCGTAGAAATGGGAATAGCTAACACATCACGAGCTATTTTGGCAAGGATTGAGAATTTAGAAGAATTAACCTTCCACCAATTCAAAATATCAAAATTGGCGCTAACAAATTCAACATCCTCCATCAAATATCGATCCAATTCTGATTTGTTGTCCACATTACCTTTCTCAGCCCTATACTTGCGGTACCTATTCATGAAATTTGTAGGTACTTGATCTTGAACAGATATCTCAGCTGAAAACACATTTTTCTCATAGTCAACACTTGACCCCACTCCACACCCCACACTAAATCTAGTGTACTGTTGGCATAATTAGTCAATGACCCTTTTGATCTTTTCAACTAATTGAACCTTAACTACTTCATCCTCAGCCTTGTAATTGTCATTGAGCCAAAATTTCAAAGCATCCAATTTATAACGTGGGTCAAGAACAATAGCAACAAACAACATCAAATTAATATTATCTAAATGACCTCAATACTTATCATACTTGCTTTTCATTCTCATAGTTATGGTACTCAAAAGATAGTCATAATCTTCACAATAACCTTGCAAATGATCATATACAATAGAAAATTCTTGAAAAAACAAGTTAGATGTGGTATACAATGATCCAGAAATGCGCAAAGTGACTTCATAAAAAAGTTTCAAAAACTTCATAAACACACAAATAATGTCCCAATCATCAAATGTAGGTTGCCCTAAACCACCCCCCTCACTCAATTGACTTACAAACTACTCATCATCTTCTTGCAACAAATCAAATGCACCTTGGTACTGTTCAACAATTTTGAGCATCAAATATGTAGAGTTCCATCTCGTTGGAACATCAAGACAAAGAAAACCTTTTTCCCCAATTTTTTGTCTCTCAACACATGATTTAAACTTGTCAAGCCTTGAAGGAGAAGACTTCACATATTTAACAGCATTTCGTACCTTCAAAATTGATGTGTTCACTTCCTTCAAACCCTTCATGACAATTAGATTCAAAATGTGTGCACAACATCTAACATGCATAAATTCATTTTCTAAGATAGTGCTATTTCCATCCTTAGTTCGCCTCTTTAAATAATCAAGAGCATCATCATTAGAAGTAACATTATCTACTGTAACAGTAAATATGTTATCTATCCCCCACCCAAGCATGCATGCTTCAATTTTCCTTCCAATTGTCACACCCTTATGATTAGGAACTTTCAAAAAATTGATTATTCGTTTGTGTATCTTTATCAATGAATTGTGCAGTTAAGGACATATAAGTTAGATTTTGAATAGACGTCCATGTATCAGTAGTAAGACAAACCCTTTGACTAGATGAGACAAACATATGCTTCAATTTTTCTCTCTCCATCATATATAATTGTAAACAATCCCTCATCACAATGGTACGGGAAGGTATACGAAATCTAGGTTCAACAGTTCTCATCAAGTCTCTAAATCCTTCTCTTTCAACAAACCGGAACGGCAATTCATCCACTATAATCATTTTAGCAATTGCCTCCCTAATTTTCTTTTCATTGAATTTAGCAACACTAAGGTCATTACTAACACCATCTCCATCTTTTTTGAATGGGTCAATTAACTTTAATTGAGATATGTCCTTCTTATTCACACTTGCCAAATAAGATTTACAACGATCTAAATGATAAAACAAGGATGAAGTACCTATTTTTCTTGCATGATAATTATAAAATCTTACTACAATGCTGACATTTAGCTTCATCTGCAGCTTCAATCTTTTCAAAATGTTCCCAAACTCTAGATCTTTTTTTTGTATCTTGTCCTTCAGTCTAAATGTCATCAGTAACTTGGATGTTACTGTTAGAATCAACTTGAGCAGATGATTGTGAAGTAACGAGACATGGAACAAACACAAACCCAAAACTATCAAACAACATGAGTAGGTTTCTTCTTCCATATATTCTTTTCAATCATGTGCATATAAAAGTAAAAAAACAAAGAGCACTTAAAATGCTTTCACTTAAACCAAAAAAAAAACATATATAAATGAAAGGAAAGATAAAAAAGCAGAAATGTAATGATATAATGGAACTCAATGGCAGCCTATACAAGCAATCAACTACACAATGTACTGTAACAACATCATAATTCAACACCAATTCTTAACAGTCACACAGGGATTCAATTATTCAAGCAGCTGGTGAACATTTCAATTTTCATCTATCTAATACTTTGGGGTCAAAAAGTTATAGCTGAACTAAACACAAGAAATCAACATAAATATCATGATACGTAAAAAATTTTATACTCAACAAGTATAATATTTGAATTCAATACCACGAGCTTACAAATGAGAGATAAAACAAAAATTAACCATGCATTTTATGTGGTAGTGAGTTCCTACTTTGACTAGAAAATCTAAATAATATTAACGAAGCTCATATACTGAAACTATGTTGCATAGAGTTTGATTCCTGCAAATAATAATGACTCTATGGAGTCAAAGACTCAATGTGCCGAGAAGAGATCTGAGATCGCATCATCATACGGTCCAGACCAGATTTGAGATCGCGATGCGATCAGACCAGATGGTCCAGATCGCGGAGAGAGAGAGAGAGAGAAAGTACCTGAAGCCTGAAGGTCCTTAACAATGGAGGAGCCGAGGAGGAGCAGTGGTCAGTGGACTAGAGTGACTAGGAGGCGCCTCTTGAAAGAAGTTGGAACTTGGAACAGATTGAGTAGATGGTTAGCAATTAGGGTTTTTTATTATATATATATATATATATATATTAAAAAAAATTAATTAAATTAATTAATGCGGGTAGGGTAGGAATGCGAAAATGAATGACTATTCCGCATTCCTACCCGATTTAATTGGAAAACCAAAAACTCTTCTGCATTCCTACCTGATTTTTGCGATTAACCAATTTTTGCGATCGGGTAGGATAGAAAATTGCGGCCGGTTGAAAATTTGAACACCCCTAAATTATTGGATGTTTACTTAAAGAGTCGATTGGACTTACTAATTTAACCATTCACATTGATTTTATATATAAAATTTAGAAGAAAAAACTTTCTCGAGAGATTCACAGCATTATCGTAATCTGTATAGAATTTCAGTGTTCTTGGCAGCTCAGAAATTCTCTTTGCATCATGCCAATGACTTGTAGTTCTCCTTCCGTGGATGCTTCCAAGGCACTGATCCTCATAATGCAAGACCCTTGAGTTGCATTAGTGGAATAATTTGTGCAGCCTTGAGTTTAAAGAACTTTGAGCACTGAACCGTCTTTTTCTTGAAAATCAATATGAGACATGTGATTCAGACAACTTTTTGATAAACCATGTTCTAGAGTCCCCATACACATACCCTAATTGTTAACAGTGAAATATCATTCTTCAACAGTTGTTTAATTTCCATTAGCATTTGTTCAAGATTAAGATCATACAGATTTTTTTTAAAAAAATAGAAACAAGAATATTTTACAAAGACAAAGAATGGAGAAAGAAAATCTTGGCCAAGAAGCTCCAAAAGCTGGACCTATTTACATCAAATATGTATGACTAGACTAAGAGTTCTCTAACTTGCGTCACATTTCCATTTCAAACAAAGAACCGAAAGCAATCTTACCGCAACTTTGAGAAGAGAACCAACTCAAGGCTTTAAGGTTTGAGAGGAGTGTTATCGAAAACAGGATAGTAGGTATCCAGTTCAAGTTGTTCTAGAATCCGTTGGGTAGCCCACAGATAAGAAGAGTGGCCCTCAATCATTTCTGACACATCAACCTGTGGATGTAGAGGAAAAGAATACATCAGAAAACTATTGTGAGAAAGGTACAATAACCAGAGTAAGATAGATGGCGAGCAGATACGTACGTTCTCAATTCCAGGAACTTCAATTGGTTGAATTCCAGCTAATCCTTGGGTAAGGAGACTGTACAATAGTAAACTTTTCAGTCGCAACACAAACAATAAGTCAAAGGTGCTTTGAACATCCTCAATTATATTTCTGAGACTCACTAATAGATAAAAAACTGTGCTATCATTTTACAGAGTTTAGGAGCAAAGGTCCAAAGACAAAATAGGCCCCTGATGTAGAATAAGCATTCTTAATTCTAAACTAAATCAATTTCATCTGCAATATGGTCAAAGTTAGAAAGCTCTATTTAGTTAGGCTAGTGGCCAAACCCTTTAGGTGCGTACTCAACTAACACATAAACATTCCCCCCCAAAAAAAACTAACAAACATCATAAAATTTTAACAGCATAGCTACCATACATCTTATGCATAACTTAACACGAAGACACACTAGACCAGCAGGCTTGGCTCAGGACTGCCCAAAATGCATTTTCAACCCACTCAAGTTGCAGTCTGACAAAATAGATGATAGAATCACCAGGTAGTGAAAGATGTAATGCCTTTTTTTGTATCAAGGAATTGTCCCAACCATGTCATTTGAACTTTTAATTGCAACGCAAATTTCAGATGCACACAATCATCCGCTAACAAAGCGAATTGGTTAAACCTAACTTTTATGCAGTCAAGGAAACTCGAACTCAGGATGTGCAGGTTTCTGCCTTGCCCTTATTCCACAACTGAAGTAACCCAAGCGGGTTAAATAATATGATGTCAATCCAAAGGATATCATATATTTATCTATGCCTATAAAATTCACGTGTATATCATTCGCTGCATCAGTTTAAGATTCTTATGAAGTGCACTTTCAAGTCATGCATACTTAGCACGGAAGGCAACTCCAAGCATCCAATCATTTGTAGCATAGGCATTCACAAATCTCCCTGCCACCACCTGAAAAACAGCAGGAAGCAACTTCTAAATATAACAAGAATTACATATAGATTGGGATGAGAGAATATCTCAGAAAATGCTTAAAAACAATAGAACAAGGAGAAATACTAGGAGTATAGGGAAAACAATATATCTCCAACACCTTTCTAGCGGCTTCCCAGTGTTCATCTTTAATCGCAACTGGTGCCCCAAGAAGAACCACTCTTTCTACAAGTCCAGCTGCCAACAGTCACAAAAAGTGTGTTAGGGTTACTCAAGCAAGTCAAACTACTCAAGAAAAGGACTCCTTGTGACTGTTACTCTCTACCATGATCTTGAGTTTCAGCCAAAAATTGGAGACACTCGAAAATTACTCGTGCTCCAAGCGAGAAACCTACTAGTGTCACAGGCCTGGAAAAATTTGTGGCCAGCCAATAATAAATCATATAAACTATACAAGTCACAATTTAAGCCAAAAGAATAACAAAGCTTGAGTATACTGGTCTACCTGTGTCCTTGTAGTCCCTTGAGTAACACTTCAGCAAGCAGTTTTCCAGCCTTGTCAGATCTGCAGAAATGCCAAAAGAATTTACAGGAAATTTCCAAAAGGACTAGCAAGATATTGGAATGAAGTACACAAAAAAAAAATCATCTTTCCTGCCATGCACAATTGCCTGTGAAAGAGTGGAGGTTAAAATACTATCTGACCTAAGGATCCCACCAAGCACATCCAATGAACCCTTTCTCAATCCAACAGATGCGAGAAAATTTTATTTTACTTCTTAAACATTAGCTACTTTTGTCTCATTGCATAAAACTATTTTTGTTAATACACTAAAAATTAAGGGGTCCTCAAAGAAAATATCAAATTAAGTACAATTCTTGAGTAACCCACATCGGTTCTAGTTCTATAGCAACAGAAGATTCCCATTTTATGCTGAAAAGGTCCACATCAATCCATAGGATATAATGCATGGAGAAACCTCAATAACTTGTTAACTCAGGCGTATTACATTCTTTGTGAAAAAGAAAAAAAAGCATTTTTGGGTAGAGATATTTCATCTGATTGAGTCACTTGTATATAACCTTCCATTTTAATACCATGGAAAGCATTCCAACTGTACAGAATGGACCTAGTAGATGGTGTTTCCCCTTTTCCCATCTGTTATCCCTCTTACGGTCAAGTCCAGAGACAAAAGCAACCTGTTCACAGCAATTGTCCATTTGCTATCGATAAAATCAGTAGCTGCAAGTAATGTTGCTGGCCAAGCCAAAGCTGCCATAAGTGAGCTTAAAACAGTCATCATCGCACCTCGCTTCATCAATTCCAGTGCAAGATCTGTGGCAAGTTGCAACAGTGTCAGTATTGTACACTATTGCTGTCATAGCAGTGACTAGAAAATATATTTTAAGCAGCTAAGGGGGCGAAATCGATTACTTGAAGTGAGCCAATCCTGAATTGCAGTGCTAACAGCAATCAGATGTTTAGACTCCCACTGCAGTGCATACCTAAAGAAAAGTTACAATTTTAAGATTTATGAAACATGTCCCCATCTAATACGAGAGGTAGATCATGCAGGCAAGAAATAAAATCAGTAAGTTCATGAATTTACATTATAAACAGTAAATATGAGATGACCAAGTTCATTATCGCAAGTATTATATTAGTCACCATGCACCTAAAAATGGTCTCTTGTTCCTAAACCCTCCCCACCAATTAGACCCTGGGTACGACCATCCCACAATGAGATGAAACTTCACCTTAGCTCTGGTGCAATGCAGTATACGTAGAGCATTAAGGGGCAGCAAAGGCAACATTACTTTCGTAGATGAAGTCCAATAGAATGTAGTGCAGAGCATTTAGGATAGGAGGTATGCTGACTATGGTTCATAGCACGGGGCGATAGCTAGAAGGTTACAGAAGGGTAGGCGAAGAAAAGGAGGGACCTCAAAAAACTGTCTAATGAGTTAAAGGAAGCTACTATCCATATCGAGTTTTAGACTGCTTACCCCAATAGACCACAGAAATTCCAATTGCATTTTCACCAAAAGACAAAATATGTCCTGTGAAACTTTTAAAGATACCATGCCTAATTATGCACTGGAATCTGAATTTCTTGATGTCTTGCATAGCTACCCACCATTTCATGATCTCTTCCTCACTTTTATCTTAATTCCAAGCAGAGTAACAAAAGAAAAGAACAGAATTAACTAAACTGGACGTGTTAAACAAAAAAATTACAATATAACTCAAATCACATGAATTAAGTTGTGACATTCCACTCTTTCTAATAACTTCAACTAAACCACCGTCTCCTGTGTCTTTCTTAGGCAGATCCTAGCGGTCTAGTTGTCTTCCCTTCCCATTCCATTACCCCCAATGTGAAAAATATCACTCTACCTAGTGGTCTTTCCAGCTCATGATCAACCCATCTTGGATGATACTGTCTCATTTTATTTCCATTTTCAAACAATGAGAGAGCATTCATAATTTGTCCTTCTTACTTGCCAGCAGCAAGATGTTTATATTGCCCATAAAACATACCAGTTATGGCAGAAGAAATCAAAAGGATCGCAGAATGATTGTACCAAACTCCTTTTACAACTTAAAAATAAGAAATGACTTAACAAAGTTACACTAGGTAACTTACTTTCATCACATTCAGATTTCCCACATAAAATGGTGGAAGCACAAAAGACTAAATGATAACTATCATTTGAAAAATGGATATATTCAATTATTGTTAAGGATGGGCATATAGAAGTGGCGGGAAAATGGTATACCTTTCTGAGTTGTCAATTTGTCCTTCCCAAGGCCTTAAAAAATCTTCCTCCTCAAAGACAAATCCTGAGACCAAGATTTCAACTGCCAGCCGCTGTTAGGAGAAGTTTTAGTGAGAAGAAATCCAGGTTAACTCGTAAAAGAAGAGCACCATGAAAAGGGGGAAACTGAAATTGAGAATCTAAGAGTAATTAATAAAAATTTCAGAGCAAAAGACACTATTTAAAATAGCCTTTGCAGAAGATTACAATGTCTGACAAATCAAGCAAGAGAAACAAACAAAGAGAAATATAAAGAGGAAAAAAGCCACAAAACTCACGCCTTGGTTATGGTTTTCTCCTATAGCTTTGAACTCAAATTCATCAACATCTCCAATTCTCCTGGCCATTTTACTCCCTGTAAGCCCAGCTCCAGCAGCTGGATTGGCCCAACCATTGGTAATTAGAACAAAGACTTGTACTTAATAGAAGAACGCAAAGCATTAATATCAATTTTGATGGTAATAGCATAAGGTACACAAGCATTATAAGATAATTTCCTATTTCCACCCATTAGTTGAAAGTGAGAGTAGCATAAGGTACACAAGATAAGACATATGGCACACCACTGTAAGATATTCCTATCTAGCTGTGGAAATTCCATTTAAATTCCGTCATAATAAATCCCCACCACATTTACTGGAAAACATGAATCCCCGCTTCAATTATTTCACTTACATTAGACACACACAAACAAATATTGTTAAAAGGCAATTCTAATAATCACCTCCAAATGATGCAGCCACTGCAACCGAACCTGCAACACTTCCTGCAGCACTTGCAACAGCAGCAAACCCGCCTGCTCCAATAACTGGGATTATAGTTCCCAACGTAGGCGCCAAAGCACTGAATCCTGCGGCAATTGCTGGAGCAGCTAAACCTGTTGAAGAATGACAGGTAACATAAAAAACATTCATGGCATCAGAAACTTGATTGAAGACGAGGTTTTAAATTAATAAAGAAAAACATTAAATGCAGTGGACATCCCACCCCCAGTAATTGCCATCAAGGTTCCTCCAGTTAATGCAGCTGCACCTATGATACCTCCGCGTTTCCACTTAGCCCATGAGCTTTGCTCTGATTGATTTTCCTCCTTTGATTCTGCCTCCTTTAATAATGCCATTGCAGAACAAGCAACCATGGTCTCAATGGCTTCCTGCGAAGAGAGAATTTAATTTTGGGAAGAGAGATATAGGATTTGATCCTAAATTCCAAAGAATGTGGCATTGATGGAGAGATTTCACATAAAATCCTTCATTATATTGTGAAAAACAGAATAAAAGGCTACAAGAACCATGACAAAGGATGGCCCCCTTAAGTATTAACTGAGTCTATGTTGCCATAGATATGTATCAAACTCAACCATCAATCTGATAAGGGTGGCCTTTAGTACAAGAGTTAACTGCACAAAGTCATAGCATAAACTTTGTATAAATTGAATATTTATGAGTCCTGAGGTCCATAAACAAGAAAAAAAGGAATGAAAGCCAGAACTCGTTACAGCCTCCAAGAAGATCATGAGCAGATGCTTTGGCGATGACTATGAATGTGATTCTCCATCAATCTCAGGTACCATTCAAAAAACTTTGTGAGGGTGAAAAAATTCTCCTCTGATGTACAGCAACTCAAGATTGGAAAAATACATAGTAATTCATTCTTTTTCTCTAAGTAGCAATATTTTCTTGGGTGAGTATGAGAATTCAGCAGAGTTTCTGTTTTACTAAACACCAGATTGGTCGATTAACTAACTTGATTCAAACACTAAGATCAGAATAAAAAATTTAACTACCATAATTTTGTCTCATGCTTCATTTGGCAAAGTCAACTCCTCAGTTCGCATGCTTATCTACAAGAGTTTAGGTGCAAATGGAATATTCCCATGAATATGTGCAGCAGGAATTCATCTATATCTACTGAAACATGTACAACTCCCTCATATTGTTAGTCATGTTAATGACAAAATAATGGGAATACACATATGATGCCTGTTAAGAATATAATTAGAAACTTATATGCATTTACTAAATATACGAACAAACCATTTTAATCCAATTGACATCAAACCAGGTTGCCAGCAACCGCAAAGCCACACGGTGTCGAGCATCATAGCCAGCCCTTTGTTGTTTAGATTTCTTCTTATGTTCAGGTATATTTGCCAGACAAGCTGAAAGAAGCTCATATAGAACTGTCACTTTCCTCGAGTAACTGAGCATCAACAGATTCAACACCTCCTCAGGGGGGGTTTCATCAAGCTTACTGTGTGACTTAACAGATGCATGTCCAATGCTAGCCGCATTACCCTTTGTCTCCTGCCGACTTTCAGGGAGCACATTTGCCACTTCTGACATTGAATGTGTTGTCTCCTGCTGATTTTCCGCAAGTACATTTGCCACTTCAGACTTTGATTGTGTCTCAGCAGTGGAAAATTTCTCCCGCCATTCATGCTCATACTCGCAGTGCTTCTTCTTCTTAGAGTTATAGTCAACATGAGTTTTCTCCATGCTTGATGCCATAGCATCAACACCATTTGCAAGGGCACGTTCCTTATCTGGTGCTTCTGAAGGACTATCACCACTTTCTTCTGCGAGTAACCGTAAGAACTGTAACAAGATGAACGCCAATGGTCATTTAAAAGCAAGGATGTCAGCAAAATTTATTATAGGAACAGAAAGGAGATGCCACAGAATAAATGAGAAAGTTAAACTTTATTCGCGTCATGGCATTGGCAGCTATGTTCCCAGACAATGCACAAGGCAAAGTAACAAATTGTGAGATGCAGATTGTCAATGCAAGTTAAAGTTCAGATAACATGTCCTATAATGAAAATGCAGATGGCCAATACTGTCAGCCAGTGACTAATGGCTTCATAAAATAGTAAGTTGAGAATGGAAAAGGCATACAGCTCCGACATGATGCTTTGCTGGAGAATACCCTGCAGTTTCCTCAAGTCCAGTCCATGCTTTACTGTCTACCTCTAGAAACCTGTTCATCGAAAATTTTATACAAAAGTTGAACAAATCACCCTCAAACAAACAATCATTCATAAAACAATCATCCGCTACCAGTAAACAGATCGCAAAAAGAAATCAAGATTAGAATCGTGTGGTGTTTTGTGTTAATTATGTTGTCTATAAAGAACAAAAAAGGCAAAATATCCTACACTAATAGTCTAAAAGCATCTCCAACCCACCAGCTATTCTTCAATTTTTAGCTATTTTGACGAGTTTCACTCCAAAAATCAGCTCCAACCCAGCTAGCTAATCCTCCTCGCCAAAACCTAGGAGGCCTTCATGCTCGCCAGATCTGAAGAGGCCATCTTGCTTGCCATTCTTGTTGCTGATCAACTCCCTCTATTTTGCTGCGGTTGCTGCCGAAACCCAACTCCCCTCCCTATGTTTTGCTGCCGCAACCCACCCCCATCTCTATTGATTTTCGTTATTGATTGGTATTTGATTTTTGGTTAAGTACGTCTTAATTTTTGGTTAAATATATGATTAAATTACTACTGATTTTTGGTTAAATAGGTGATTAAATGGCTACTAATTTATGGTTAAATTTATACAATGTATGATTGAATTGCTGTGATCAATTGGTTTTTGTTATTTGAAGCGGATGGGTGTTAAATAGTTAGTTAAAATAGAGAGCGTGGTTAGAGTAAATTTGAAAAAAGTGGCTAGCTAAAATAGAGAATACAATATTTAAATATATTTTGGGTAATTATTTTGCTGAGCTGGGTTGGAGTTGCTCTAACAACGAGTTTGACAAAGAGGAATTTGGGCTTTGTAAGTGAAATTTACCATCATATTCAGGCCCAGAAAAAGAAAGGGGGGGAAATTTGGAACTAATTTTTCCCCCTAAAGAGCTCAATTCCATGCTGCCAAACAGAACATTAAGGGATAAATTTCTATTGTAACAAACGAATTACATAAGAAATTGACAGTAAAAAATTTATTTTTCGTTTCTTTTCTGAGATTTCTCAGTAAATCAAACCGAAGAAAAGGGTGTAATTAACAATTCAATAAATGTCCCAATAACCGAACTAAAATGAACATAATAATGCAAGTATCATTCAATTCAGAAAAGAAAAACCAGATTCGATTGCCATCCAATTAACTGATGTAAAAATCTCATCAATTCCAGGTTCCAGCATATATAACCATACCCAAACACACAACCTCAAAGTAATCTGGTCAAAAATGACTGCATAATTACATAAACAAAGAGAAAGTTTACCTGAACACGGGGCGGAGGAGACCGGAGGACTCGTGTACCCAAAGCTGAGGGTCCTCGGAAACTGAATCGCTACTGCTACCACTGCTGGTGCGCTCACCGGTTGGATCGTCGTCAGAGGGAGAGCCCAATGGACGGGTCTGGTGGATCTGGGCCTGGTGCAGGGCCAGACCGAATAAAGCTCCGGCGGCGTACCTCTGCGCCGGCGTCAACATCGACGATGACATCTTTTATGATTCAAAATTTAGAAGATGAAATTTCGAAACACATACGTTCAAATTTGAATGAAATTTGGGTAAATAAAGTGCAGCTTTCTTGTAGAATAAAACAACAAATCTTATGGTATAAATTTTGAACTGCAGCTCAGAATCAATCGAATGAGTTTGGTTTTTCACTTGTTCAAATTCCGGTTGACACGGTTTTTGTTTATAAAAAATTACATTTAGACTCCTTAAAATTTGTTATTAAATTATTTAAACATCTAATATTTAAAATGTTATACACAACCTCTTCAAAGGTTATACAGACACAACACATAAACCCATGTTGTCGTGGACGTATATATCCATTAATAAATTATATTTAAATTCTTAAAATTTGAAGTGTGTAATAAGTAAATTTTTTAAAATTTAAATATTATATTTATACTAAAAATACTCTAATTAAAGATATAATATTAAATATTTTAAATTTTATAACATGTTCTATTATGTCATTATTGAAATAAAATAAATAAAAAATTAATTTTTTCTTAAAAAAATTCATAATTAGTATTATTGTTGCTAATTTTTCTATAATCACTTACGAACATATAAAATAAGTTTAATCAACATTTTTGCATATTCCATTTTATCATCGGTTGACATAAAAATCAAATAATATTTTAATTTTTTTTTTAAAATAATAATAAGTATAAATATATCAAAAAATTCAAATTCGATACTCATTTGCATATTATTTATTAAAATAAAAGTAAAAAATAAATAAATGGTCAAATTATAATTGACATAATATCTACTATCTTTAATTGGGACAACTTAATCGTTTAATAAATTTTTTTAATTTCGTAACTAATAAGGAGTTTAAATATAATATTTTAAACTTGAAATGTCTAAATATTATATGTTTATAACTTTAAAAAGTTTGTGTATAATTTACTAATAGATGTTGACAGACCTAAGTGTTATACATATATAAATTTAAAAAAAATTATGTATAATATTTTAAACTAGTTATTGTCTGTGTTTGAAAGCACAAAATAATAAAAATGGTAAACAATAAACATATCTGTATTCATATCCAAAATTAAATTACAAACATAAAGAAGAGATAAAAGAATTTAAGCATCGATTTATAGTAGGGATGAGAGGTGGTGGACGACAGTGGTGGTAGGAGGAGACGGTGATGGTTGTGGTGGGTGATAATGACCGTGGTGGCGGTGGTGGTAACGAAGGTGGTGACAAGGGTGGAAATGGTGGCGACGACGACAGCAATGTTGGTTGTGATGACGGTAACAGAGCTGGTGGCAACGGCGATGGTGGCGACAATGAGGGGGTGATGGTGAGCATGATGGTGGTGGGTGTGGCGATGGTGATGGCGGTGGCAGTGGTGACGACAGTCGGGATGGTGGCGACGGCGGTAGTAGTGGTGGTGACGGCGACAGTTGTTGTGATGGCGACGGCAACAGCGATGGTAAGGGTGGTGGTGGTCGGGGGGTGACGAAGACGGTGGCGGAGGTGGTGATGAGGGTGATAGAAGTAATGGTGGGGCGGTTTCAAACACTATGTTTTTTTTAAAATATCTTATGAGAAACAATTTATAAAAGTATTTTTAAAAAGTCATTTCAAATACGCCCTTAAGAACCTATTTTTTTTATTAAATTTAAAATGTTAATATTAGCCGTTAGATTAACTTTAAAGTAAAATTTAAAGCGTTTTCAACCATAAATAGTAAAAATTATTTTGTTTATTTTTTGAAATTTGAATTGTAAGTAATTTTATTATATAGATATTAAGATGTTTAAATAATTGTATAACAAATTTTTCTTTTGTTTATGGCGCGAAGCATACGTTTGCTTTTGGACCCTTTCAATTTTGTGCATTGAAGAGGTGTAACTATGACGTCTCAATCTGTCCCGTCAACACCAATACAATACAAACTGACATGATAATATTTTTAAAATTAATATGATAAATAAATTGAATGAATATTTGATACTATAATATGGTAAATACAAACTCTTTTTGGATTAGTTCATGAGAGTGGTGTTGATGATTTGCCTTTGACGGGAGAGAGAATTAATTAAGATATGCGTAAATTAGTTCAAACACTCTTAACCGTTTAATTAAAAAAAAAATCATGACCTTTAACACGTACACAATACGAATTACAATAACACAATTCAAAAATAACAACACATAAATCACATTACACGACACAAATTAATATCCCCAAGTGTAACCTACTTCATAGTAACATTAGGTTATGTCCCGCACCTGGGTCTACCATCGGCCTCTATTTTAATGAAACTTAAAATGTCTATCTAAATTTTCATACTCTTATCTCACATTCCCAGAGAGGCTCATTTGTGCATAAGCAAAGGTCTATTGGCTTGTTAATTTACGATCTATTCTACTGACATCATTTGGAAATGGGATATGACTGGAATTTCAATTAATAACAGTCCTGCTACCATGGCTGACTCGCAAATGGCACATATTGCTTGTTTAAGGAGAGCTATTGATTTCAATTATTCAAAAATACTTCTAATCTAATTTCAAGGTAATTCAAGTAATAATAGGAAGAACTATAAAGTCAGGCATTCTGAATTCGAATCTTGACAATTTTTTAAAATCAAACTATGAAAAATTTATTATTCATGAATACTCAAGTCCCACCGTAAATGACCTGTTTTTAACCGAACTAGGAAAAGAATTAATTAAGGTATGCATAAAATTACCCGAACACCCTTGACCGTTGAAGTAAAATAAAAAATACTTCCAATCCCGATTGCCGATCCATTTCGTTGTCCTACCATGAAATCCACACTCAAAATGCTCTGCAAGACAGACGGCCTACTGAAAGAAAAAATTGTATTATATGATTATACCTATTAATTCCTCAGTTAAATTGTAGTATTGGATACATTTGGAGCAAATCTCCCCTAAAAAATTGATTGTACACAAAAATAAAATGTAACTTCTGTCGTTGAACAACATCTTCATGGGTGAAGATAATCGCAAAATTCCCCCTTCTTGCAATGCCCGTTTTCAAAAAATTTACAGACTCGCTGCCCTTTGGGAGGAGGCCTAGAGTAAGCTCCACCACCACCAACAAATGACTGCCTGTTCCATGAAGGCCTACCCCTGTTGTATCCGGAATCCCCCTGAAAGGCCGTCTCCCTTGGATCAATAAATCTTTCCCCAGTGTATTTTCTTTGGCCATCCCACATTAGACTCCCAGCTAAAGCACCATGATTGTTATTTGTATTTCCCCATGCCATCATCTGATTATTATTCCACCCCATGTTTCCAATTCCCTGAGGTGATCCCCCCCAACCCATATTCACATTTCCCTGCATTGTTCTCCAATCAGTTTCCATAGCCTCCAACCCTGCACTCTGCACCATCCGTATGCCAACCATGTGCTGTTTACGGGTGGATGGTGCAGGAGACGGTACGTATGAATCAGCTTTGCCCGAGTTAACTGGAACATGAGTGGTCTTTCTTTCTCCATCCACTTCATCACTTGTAGAAGATTGCCCACTGCAACTCTTTACAGGATAAAAAATATCAGCCCGAGATGCCACAACTGGGTCATCTCTGGATCTAGACTGACAAGATAATTGCATATCCCCAGTGGAGCTAAAGGCGTCACTTTTTCCAAGATCAGGTGTCGGGCTCAACTCCTCAATGGAACTAAAGCAATCGTTCTTAGAACCTTGAATCAATTCCTCACCATAGTCCATAGCTGAAGTAGGTGAAGCCAAGCCACTTCGAGACTCCATTGCATCAACTTCAGCCAACAAATCTGATACTGATTCCTCAGCCAGAGTGCTAAATTCAATTGTTTCAGTAACAGCAGCCTGCCATCCAGAGACATTGAGTGCATGATGGGATGGTGAGGAATGAGTAAGATGGTCACTCACTGACGTCGGAGTAGCAACATGATCACTCACCATTTCAGGTTGTTTTGATGAAGACACGGAGCCAAGACCAGAATCCCATTCCTTGGTGGAAGGTTTTGCAGCAGGAGAACGTGCACCCCATTCATTAGCTACTTCAGGAAGTTGAGCCCCACCAACTACTAGACTAGAAGCACTGCTCCAGGTAGGGCCTGAATCTTGAATAGGAAAATTTGAGAGCACAGATTGCTTGGTTTCAGCAGTCTGTCCATTCTGGTCTTCATGACATGGCTTTGGTGTGGGACTTGGCAGAACTGATACATCTTGAACAGGTACATCTGAAGACACCGACTGCTTGTTTTCAGCAGCCTGACCTTCCCACTCCCTGTTGATTGTCTTTGGTGTGGGACTAGGCAGATTTGCAATGTCCATGTCACCATTCTGTTCAGATGAATTAATTGACTTGGTCACAGAAGCAAAACCCAAGTTAGAATCCAAGTTGTTTAAAGATCTCCAGTTTTGTCCTGAAGATTGGCCTGAATAGGTCTGACTGTTACACTCTTTCTCACGACTGTTTTCAACAGTACTTTGACACACTTTGGTTCCATGTGAATTCCAATTTTCATGATTTGGACCAGATTTCTCTGTCTCGCATTCCCGACTGCTTCCTTGCTGCATCAGCAATACATCAGGCTGCCCTGGGATTATTGAAGAGGGAAGAGGGCTATGCACTTGGGGCTGGTCAGAACAAGAATTATTACCCTTCAATGACTCCCAGCACTGAGAGTGCATTCCAACTTCCTGAGACTTCAAAGAGATGTCGAATAGAATTGGCAAAGCTTTATGGAACTGTCCGTTCAATGCATCAGTCAAAAGTATGGAGTCAACTTGCTCATCACTCACCCAAATTCTCATATCAGGTGGGAAGAGTCCAGTTGTACTCCACTTTCGCAGCTGCACCATGGAGAATGGTCCTTGAATTCCACCATTTGGGTCTCGGTAGTGCCACAATTTGTCAGTTTCACTTTTGCTCACAGATGGAGCATCTTCTGTGGAGAGAGGTATTGCTGAGTTTTCAGATGCAACCCCAGAAAACCATTGGGAACTCATTACAGCTTGATTACCACCAACCGCTGAACCAGACGAATCAACCCAGTTTTCTAGTTGCTCCGAACTATTTGATCCACCTATCTCAGGGGCCTTTGTAGGACCCTCACTATTGCTATCCTTGCAGGTAGTTAAGTTTTTCCATGTTTTGCCACCATTATTCATTAAAACCTTGCCTCTTTTTTGCGGAGCAACTGGCTTGCTTACATTTCTACTAAATCCAGAAAATCTAGGCCTCACGTATTCATCTGCATATTTTCATCAGCACCACTCAATAGACATTAATGGATAGGAAATGAAATAATAGTGGAAGAGACAGAGTTCCATATCCAGAAGGTATGTAACAAACCTTGTTTTTTGTCTATAAGTTCTCTGGTATCTTCTTCGGATTCATAATTTGGATCCATCCTTGGATCAGCATGTACTTCTGGAATTTCACTTAGTCTGCGCTGCCGCTCCTCAGGTGTCTTCAGAAGCTGTAATTTCTCAATACATTCTCGAAGAGTGAAACTTGTCAAGGAGTTTCAAATAAATTATGCCAATTTCTTCCACTATACTATATGAGAGAATTGAATTGTCAAAGATTGCCAATCACTTCCATTATCACTGGTGTCACTAACCTTATATTTAAAGGAAAAAAACTGTAAACTAGGAAGATTTTGGAGTGGAGACTCTGAAATTACAAGAGCCTCCCCTTATTCCTTACAATTTCTAGGACCTCATATGAAACAAAAAGGTACATTTTATTGACATGGCAATATAAATGTAGCCTGAATAAGGAATTTGAGTTGAAGACTGGCACAAGATAAAGAAAACCATTATACACTATGATTGCAATAGTGATGAGCTAAATTAGCACCAATCAAGGACAAGAATAAAGTTTCCTAGAAAGGTAAGATGTTGGACCACCTAATCGAAGGAAAAGAGAAAAATATAATGGTTGTGCTTGCTATTGACTCAATAATTCCCATATTATGATAATATGACTTCCCCAATTTCAGTATATCAAAGAGAAAAAGGAAGATTTCAGTACTCCAGCTTCATATTACAAGTATCGTTGAAAAACATTCAATATACAGCCACAAGTTTTCAAGAGAGACGGACCAGGTCCAACCATATAGACCAAAAGAAAGGACTTCATCTGAAGTTAAGAATATCAATAAAATACATCTCGGTCATACAGAGTTTTTGGAGAGAGAGAGATAGAACTGCTATAACTGTATAGACTAAAATGAGGTATACCTCTGTCATACCACATTAGCTCATCCTAACATACAGTTGAGATTAGTCAAGCTCATTGGAAAACATCAGATTCCCTTGATCAGCCATATAATTACTGATACAACGGCTTGCAATAAATTCATCTCATCAGGCAATGAGATGAACAAGCTGATCCTGGTGTAACTTGAGTAAGGATTATTTGTTCTCGTTGTACTGAATTTCAAATTTTCTTTAGTTTTCTGTTGTTGCTGATCAAAAAAATAACAAACTATGTCCACAAGTTCATCATTTTGACATCTTTTTACCATTTAGTTCGTATATTTAGAATACCAATCACTTCATGGTTTTCACAATATTTATTTTTAAATTTTAAGCACAGAAAATCTGGTAGATAGTTCCATCAGACAACGAATAGTGGTGCGAGTTGAGCTTGGTACCATTTTCCAACCACATTTGTGGACATGCTCGGCTAAGCTGCCATTGTTGAACCAAGCTGTTCCAACCCGGAATAAGTAGAGCTCATTGTGAATTTCAAGAACTATTTAAAATTCTCCTGTTTTACCATATTATCCAGACATAATAAACCAATAGACTACATGCCTTTTTGACATCCTTGCTGGCCATCACAACGCCCAAAAACATAATATATGTCATTACCAACAACTATCTAGTCTCATTAACATGACAAAACCATCTAATTCAGCCACAACTCATTTCCTATGAATGTTACCCATAGTTATACATATCATACGATACGTCACGATGGAGAAGCACGATTTGTATCGACCAATGCTTCCAATACGCACAAATAATTTTTTTTTTTGGCTTTTGGGGCTGAAACGATGTCATTTCACATGTGATGTTATCTTTTTAAGCCCAAGCCAATAAAACAACGTCGGTTCATCAGCTAGGGCATAAAAAAATAAAGCTCTTCTTCAAATACAATACACGATATACTATTTTTGGAAAACAATATGTCTTCTGATACAAGATTTGACAACCATGATGCTACCTTCTATGTTCTCTACAAATGAACCACATATCCATCAGAACATGCTCCAGCCATGCCTAATTTATGGTGAAGATAACACACTTGAAACTTTTGCCTTCAGGTAGACCTGTCCAAAAGGGTGATACATCCAGCAAAGGTCATTTATCCCACGGCACCCGGATGTAAATAGAAATGGATTTTGAAACTCAAAACACCTTCCATCTCTCAATCTCCTCTAAGCCATGGCTACCATAATTCACTAAACCCGTGACGACCCACGATCTAAGTACATCGATCCCAAATGAGGTGAGTTCGCAATTCAAATCACTAAAATGTACGACCCCAAATTGTAATACTAACTCTAAATTAATTCACATTCAAATATGTATCATAAATATAAAATACATATTAATTGACTACATGTATATAATTTATAATTATATATTGTTTTAGATAATAAAAAATCAAGCACAAATATAAGATTAACGGTAACTAACTTGGTGTTTATATATGTTCTGTAACATATAATGTTGTATAGTAGTAAAAACAATCTAAGTTAAGTGTTCTAAAATGAATTGCGACCCAAAATAACGAACCAACTAAGCTTAACCCGATCATACCGCGTACCTAAGAAAGTATCATACCGCGTATCCGTACTCATACCACGTACCCAAGAGACCAACGATCCAGGTAACCTTGCTCTAAGCATACCACAAGCGCATACACATAACGCAGAAATTATAATTTTCCATTTTTCTGTGTTTTGGGTGGGACACTTAAGCTGGTTTTCGAAGTTCCTTATCTCTCTTCTTAAAGAGTGTATTGTTTCATTAGATTAACAGGCAATTAGTCATATGTAAAATATGAAGACCAAAATACCTTTCTCATAACTGATATTGGAAAGATCAAAACGCTCAAATGAAAAGGATATTCTTTTTTGTGCCCCTTTTCACTAGCTCGATCACGTAGATAATTGAGCCGCAATATCTCTGTTTCCAGCCTCTACACAAGAAGACAAAAACAAGGTATACAGACGGTGGCAGAGCAACTTAGGAATCATGATCAAAAATTATATGTAAGCAGCATGCTAAACCATGATAACATGTAGATCAAAGAAAATGATACAAACATTTAGGAAAAAATGATAAACTTATGGGTTTCATCTTTACGCGGTACCATTAAAAGCTAAGAAACTTACATCATGGAGCGTCACTGTTTGGAGACTCATTGCTTTCTCTTGTATCTCACCCTACAACCAAACATAAAACTTTAGCAAAACAATGCCAAAATAAATTTTTGGCCGAATTGTAGAACTATAATTAGCATGTATACTTACTACAGTAAATCGTTTCACAAGCCCACATTTTATACTCTGACGTAAACGTCTGCATTCATCCTGGAATACAATAACAAATCAAAACAGAAAACAAATCAATATATATGAACATATCAAAACAGATAACAAATTTCTGATATAGCTTCTTTCTTGTCACCTCAGAGAACGCTTGATTTGAAATTGCATCAATTGATATAGCTTCTTTCTTGTCTAAATTTAATAGTTCAAGCATGACATCTGTTGTCTTATCTCCAAGTTTATACGGTACAGCCACCTTACTTGTACCTGCGCTCAAAATGTAACAGTTAAATGAATAAGCCAATGTCCAATTGCGTACGAACATAAAAAAGAACTGCTACATTTATGCATATATACCTACAACTTGAACAAGCCTGTACATATCTTGCTTCTGATCACCACCAGATATCCTTATTCGCACAATCGAGCCAACTACCTTATCATGGAACTTCTCAGTATTGCCAATAAGACTCTCCATCAAGTTACGTCGCAAGAAGATTAAGTTAATGTTGTGAACATCAATTGCAGCATATTCATCCAGATTAGTCTGTGGTGCCCTTGCTTCATTCTTTCTACGAGTTCTACGTCTCTTGTCTCTACCCATCATCAGTAAGTTATCATTATTCCCATCAGGCTCCACATGGCTTGCAACAGCATCAACAATCCCAGCTGGAATAAACCCATTCTTCTGGGAATCCTCTTTTATGAGAAAGTGAAATTCAAGAAGCTTTAGCATTTCAATGTGACCCACACGTGGTTTCCCAAATAGATTTTTAAGCCTCAAATCACAAATAATTTGACCTTTTCGATGAGGATCACGAAGATTGTTTCTCTTTATATAGTCTAGTAAAAGCGCCTGGACATCAAACTGATATAAAACAGACGTATCACCATTCTTCATGTGTGCAATAAACTCTAAGAGCTCTTTAGATGCCCAGTCGCTGGAACAGATCAAAGATGCGCCTTTGTCACTTCCTGGTGTTTCTGTGCTCAGAGAGTCCTTGTTGAGTAACATTAACAGTTCATTGGTCTTGTCACTATTACTAGCCTCCAAATTTTCAGAAGACTTGTCTGATATAGAACCTTTGCTGCCCTTGGTATTGTAATGTAGAACAAATGATTGCGCCTTACAACGAATCATACCAGTAGCTTTCCAGGGATTTTTAGCTTGAGTGAGCTCATTTAAAGTTAACGATAGCTTCCTTTTCAAGTAAATCCAGTATACCTTAAAGAGATACTCCCAGCTACTTTTGTCATCAAAATCTACTTGAACCTGCACAAATTACAGATAATAAGATATAAATGGCAGCATAGAACCACAAATAGGCTACAAGCCCACAACTAAACAAGGTACTTATTTTAGCCAGATTACAATTTGTATTTAAAGCTATTAAAAAGTTCAAGCATAATCCTATCTCCCGAATCATTTCCGGGTAAGAATTTTATTCTTTTTCCGTTTTCATTGGCATTTCCCAGTCTCACATGTAACACCAATAGGCAGTTACTCATCTACATAACTATGAGTTCCCTTGCTTTACCTTTTACCTAACACGCACAACATTTGTATCTCTGCTGGCTTTCAATACCAGCACTTGTCCATAGATCGGTTAATTTAAGCTTCAATCAAGCTCGTTTATTCAACAAGCTCTCCCCTCCAGCTCCATGAATGAGCTTAAAGGAGCTTTTTCTGAGCCACACTCAAGTAGCTCAGATCTTTCACACCCATTTTCGGGTTGATGCGATCTCAATAAACATTAGGAATGAAAATCTACACAACCAAATATGGGTCTTCCAAAAGTGGACAAATCTAACCCGAGTAGTCAGGTATGGAAAGCTGGAGGGAAGGAAACAATCAAGTCAACTTTGATTTCGTCATGATAATTGCAACCTTACTTTTTTAAATCAAAGTAACCCATGGGAGCAATTACAGCAAATATTGACACCGTGCAGAAAGGATGATCTTGCATACCATTTCATTGTTTCCCGGCTCATTATTTTCAATCAGCATGATTGTTCTCATGCATGTTGTGCAAAAGCCTTTATTTCCTCTGACGCATACGTAATCAGCATCTTTAGTGCATCCCTTGCACAACGAAAATGTACATGTATAGCACATATAATGGGAAGCCTTCCGACATACACTACATATATGCCAACCTGATATAACCAGCAATAAGATCAGAGCTCATACAAATAAAGGAGATCCGTGGAAGAAATAAATGGAAAATGAACCGACACTAACTGAAACAACTCAAAAAAAAACAAAATTCTGTCAAAGGCCAGATCTCACGAACAGCAGCTTGACAAACATTAATGGCTACATAACGAGGAGTCATTGATCTAATACATCAACCAACGTAAAGCTAGATGTCTAATCAGGAAAGTGGATATTCAAGGCTAAAATCAGAAATTTAAGTGGATATGCCTGGAAAAAAAAAACACCAGGAGGGAAATTATAAACTATAAAAAAGGAAAAAAAGAGGGGGAGAACAAGAAAAAACTCAGATACTGAAATGGAACTTTGACCTTATCAAAAACGTCCCATCAACAAACACACAAACAGCCACAAAGCATTCAAAAGGTAGATAAATCAACTGATGCGTGAAGTTAAGGAAAGATTAAGAATCTTTGCAAAAGAATCCACGGTACCATAATCTGCCTTGTAAAGAATTTTAGAATCCACTGTACCGCGTAATCTGCCTGATCCAACAATTTTGTGTCGAAAAGGAATCAACTTAAAATCCTAATTTGCAAAGAAGATAATAAGGAATTGGAGGCCAAAAGCAGGGGCCCTTTGTTGTCAATGCCGAAATCTGGATAGGGATTCCAAAGTATTCTGCATAAATAACGCATTTTGGGTTTGATTAAAGTGCACTTATTATTCTTGGGCTAGCGCCTTGATGACCATTCCTGTTTATTAACACTGTTAAATTCTGGTTCCATCTTTCAAAATGACACAGCGGCGGAACCAAGTCTTGCGTGGAAGCAGGAAAATAGTAATAAGTCATGAAAATCATTGTCCAGTGGCAATAATATACAGTTCGCAATTTCTTGTACGAAGGCGATATATAAGAACACAGATTAGCCAAATAATATATCTCTTTTGAACTAGTTTACTTTATTCCCTGTGCATGAACAGTGAAGTGACTAGTGGACTATGCACATCAGGTGGACAATTGTGTGCTAACATGCGTCGAGCAAAACGACAAGCAATAAACATTACAAAGCTACTCAAGAAAGAGAAAAAATATATGAACAACAAAAAGAGCCATATAACAAAATCCTGAAGTTAGATATCTAATTTTCTAACCAACACTCAAATGTAGTCATATAGAATAGATGGTTCCCAAAGAGAAGGGTAAAGCTCGCGCTACTGATGATTATAAAAAAATGGGGTTTCAGTAATGAACTCATACAAGGATGGGTGCTACACTTCATTGGTCATGTCATAATTCAGCTTCACCAAAATATTATGTACAACAATGTGGTAACATGAGTACTACAAGGTGGCGCCATTAAACTTCCAACAATAAGTAAACATGGTATTTTTTTCTTTAGTGCACAGGACATGATCACCCCTCATGTAATCAACAATTATGGGATTCAGATGCTTGTTTGAGAACCTAAGTAATTAAATTTGCTCCATGGAGACAAGCAAAAATCAATGCATACCGATGTTGTTATTGGAGTTTGTATTGATTTTTCTTTCAATTTTTTGTCTAATTCTGGCATTCAAGACAATTTCTAGAATCCTCCCCACGTGATGATCATTCCCCTGATTAAATTGTAGATAATGGATCCAAATCCCAGAGTCCTACTGTTCGAGGGGAACTATGCAGTACTCATGGCCATACAGCCAAAACTAACGACAGAAGCTTAAATGTACTACTTTAAAGATAGAAATATAGTAAGCCATCAACTAATCAACCCTTTGCATTTGTTCTGCAGTCATAGACTGAATAAATAACATAGGAACGTTTTGAGGCTGTGTCCAGTTAAACGCTAAAACCATCACCTCATCGCGATAGAAATCATATAACATAGAAGGGCCAAGCACTAACAAAAACGATAACTTGAAAAACTTCTATAAATTCATTCTACATACCGCAATTCCATTTTGCCTTGGATCGAAAAAAAGCCTCATCCCGTTTAATACAAGCCGGATGATATGCCTTAGGACAGCCCCTAACCATTAAAAATACAACATGAATATATTAGCAATTGCGAAGTACTTTTTCCCGACTGCTAATTAGTATGTCCAAGCATATTTCCCTTTCTACTTTTAGCACAAAGCAAACCCACTTATGCTTCAAAAAGCAATAAATTCACTTCCACAATGAAAACTGAGCTAAGACTCAAAGACAAACTGCATTAAATCCCTCATAAAAGAAAACAATTCTCTGTTATTAGACAAATCCAAAAACTCACTTGCGATCGCATAGAACGAGAGAACCACCATCGAAGCATATGAAACACACATCTTCCTCTTCCTCTTCCTTTCGCCGCTTCGGCTGTGGTGGTTTGGCCTGATCCCGCGGCGGCCGACCTCGCTTCTTCTTAACACCATCCTTTTCTGTCTCTCTCGCCACCGTCTCGACCTCCACTTTCACAGCAGCAGGAGTTTCTCCACCGCCGACCACAGAATTTTCAGCAACAACCACCGGAACTCCAACGAGCTGCGAGTCATCCATTTCCTGAATCGGCTCGCACCGGTCCACGTTCTGGACCTCAACGGCTCTTAAAGTTTCATCAACGCTTCGACTCTCAGCTTCCAAGTGCGGTCTATAGAGTCCTGAACTCGAATCTACCCCTTCCATGAAAAATTCTAACTATCACTGCCTCCAAACAAACCCTAAATTTGGAAATTCAGTAATTGATTTCGATTTTGATCGAGAAACGGAAGCGATCATTGACCACACGTTGTCGTGTCCTGAATGGGGAAGAGGAAGTTCATAGAGAGACGAAACCAAAGAAAAGGAGAGAGAGAGAGAGAGAGAGAGAGACGGTGGTCGTCTTGCTATGCGATTGGTGATTGTTGTGGGGTTTTACCTTTCGGCGACACGGCTTGTGAGCATTACATTTGGACAATGGAGAGAGAGAGAGAGTCAAAGCAACGCGGCTCGTAGAATTGTGAGAGACTGGGAACACGTGATGGGGGGTGCCTTTTTGGTAGTGCGAGTATAAAGAGAGTTGAGTCAGTTTGGTGAGTCAGTCAGAAAGGAAGGACACCACCAAAACAAGGACTCTCTCCGCTGGATGGGAGGGGCCGAGTTTTGATCCGGACTTTTGTCTACCAGTCACCATTATAAAAATCTGTTGGCCATTTTGCCTTTGTCACAGATAGCGAAAAGGCTAAAGTGGATGCACTGTGAGGAAATGACAGTTTATTCTGGGTGGCTAAATGGAGAAAATATTGACTACTCACCCGACTTTACCCCACTATGTCATCTAGTGTACATTATTTATAAAATATTGGCATATTTGGAGTTAGCTTAACTAAATAATTTTTAAAAATTTTAGAGTAAAAAAAGTCAAGTCTGTTTATATTTTGATTTTTTTTTCAATTTATGTAGTAATTTTTTTGACCCAAAAAAAATTATTTAAACTAATTTTTTGAATTTTCCTTTTGACTTTTTAGAATTTTGTCACATGTCTTACTTAACATTTTAGTTTATTATTTTCATAAAATATTATTACTGATATAAAAAAATTTAAAATTCTTATTTAAAAGAACAATTATGCATAACTTATACATATATATAATATTTTTTTATTTTGATACAAAAAAAAACCAAAAAAAAAAAGTAGAAAATCACTCCAAATTAATTTTTTCATCTTTTTTCAACTTTTTAAAAAAACACTTCAAACGATTTTGAGAGACTTTTTTTACGAAGAGTAATATTATTGGGACCTAAAAATCTGACTTAATTTGCTGACCTAATTCACTATGACCTTTGGATTGACTGTAGACTCCATCAAATATTAGAACTTGGTGTTGATCCAATAATTTTTATTAAACCACATCATTATGTCAATAAATTAGATTAAATTTTTAAATCCAAATAACATTACTCTTTTACGAAACTTTTCAAACAACATATTTTTATCTAAAAAAAGGTCAACTCCAAATTTACTCATTGTAGATTTCAAATCAATTAATGACATTGTGGAGTCGTCAGAATTTAAAATAAAATAAATAAGTAGTGGCTCTAACAAGTAAATGATGTGGCAATTTCTTATCAGATATAAACACCTAAATTGGTGACATAAACGTGATTAAACACGATTATGTATAATTATAAAACAGTTGGACTATGAATTAAACCACTTTTAACCCAACTTATTGGCAGACCAAATTTTTATCTTCTACACTGATTTCTCTTGTTGGCCTAAAACCATTAAACGACATTAACAACCCAAAGAAGCAGCAGAAGCAGCAGGAGTAGTACCTTACACGCAAAACATATGACTTTTTTTTTTTTTTTTTTTTGACATCGATCCAACAAGGCAATTTTGTGCCTAAAAATCACATGGTCAAGACGGGTGTTATCTGACCTGAGGGCACAATAAAAACTTTACGTTATCAGATTTGTTTACATCAATATAAGTATGGCATGTGACCTAATTATTTGTTCAATGAAAAAGGAATATGCTATTATTTATCACGTATTTTAAGGTATTCATATTTTATCACTTTGTGAGATTCTCTTTTGAGTGGTATTACTGTTTTAAGTCTCACTAATTACACAATATATATATATACTAATTATTTTAGGTACGGAGTAATAAAAAAAAATTCAACAATAAACATATTTGTATTCATACAAAAAATCAAATTACAAATATAGATGAAATAGAAAAAAATTTAAGAACTGATTTATAACGGGAGCGAGCGGTGATTATGGTGGTAAGCGGCAATGGTGGTGGGAGACGGTGAAAATTGTGATGGGTCATGACAACCTGTTGTGATGGTGGCAACTATGGGTGAAAATGGTGATGATAGTGGTGAGGGTGGTGGGACAATAACAGTAGTGGTAAGGTGGCAACAACAATGGTGATGGTGGTAGTGAGGATGATGGTGGTGGGGCGGCGGTGGCGATGATGGTGGTAGAGTGCCAACTGCGGTGGTTATAGTGGTGGTGGTAGTTGTGATGGTGGTTGTTGGGTGGTCGGTGTGGTGGTCATGGGGGGTGGCGACAGTGGTAATGATGGTGGTGTTTGTTGTAGCAAGCGTGGTGGCATCGTGGCGACGACGATAGTTGTGGTGGTGGGGTGATGATGGTGGTGGCGGTAGTGGTGGTGGTGGTAGAGTGGTAGCAGCGATAGTGATGGTGGGGTAATTTCAAAAAACTACATTTTTTTTTTAAATAGTATTTATGAAAAATTATAAGTAATAAAATCATTTTGAAAAAAATCACTGCAAACATACCCTTTTAGGGGCCTATTTTTCTTCTATTAAATTTATAATATTAATATTAATCGTCGGATTAATTTTAAAATAAAATTTAAAGAGATGTCAACCGCAAATAACAAAAGTCATTTTGTTTATTTTAAAAATTTGAATTGTATTGTATTTATATATATATATTCAAGTCCCCGACTTTAAAGGGGGAACGGGTGTCATTTGGTCAATAGCTAACCTCAACTAAACAATATAGCTACTAAATATCAATGATCATGAACCCACTTAGTTGAATGTTTTTTTAAGAAAACTCTAATACTATCCACAATTCTTACTGAAATTTAAATTTGAGTAAAAATTGGTTAAAAATAATCTCTAATCTTTTACTAATAGGAATAGAGACTTTGAATTTTAGCAACTTCTTGGGGTCAGGTTACGAAAGATTTATCTCTCGTGAATATCTTAATTCTGACGTAAATGATCTGTCTTTGACCAAACCGAATATAAGATTAGTTGAAGTGTGTGTAAGCTGATTCGAACATCATTGATCGTTGAACTAAAATAAAAGAGACTGTAATTTTGTTTCAAATCAAATGATATTTAGATCTTTATTCAAACCTTGAATGATCAAATCTCAAAAGTTATTTTTTTTTAAAAAAATCCAACAGTTATATTATATCATTTTTTTAAATTTAAGTTTATTTTTATTTAAATTTAGATCGGTCTTCTTTTAATTATGAGTTTATTAATTAGAGTGTAATGTATTAAATTAAACTTTTTATTCAAATATTTTCTAAAATTTGAGTCAAAACTGAAAATAATTTTAATAAAAAAAAAGGGCTGGTAATGTGGGTAAGGGTTGAAGGGTGGTAATGTACCACGTGTGGGTCAACGTCGGCTAGGGACCAAGTTGAACTTAGCATAATATACAAGCAACCATGGCTTATATATAAATCTTTTAAACCACACGATTTTAGGGTAGGCGTACACATTAATGCGATTAAAACTTATCCTCACTCTCAAGTGTTGAACTTTTATAACATCAAACATTAAAAAATCTATATATAAATCAATTGTGCGTTGAGCCTGATTTGGCGTGTCAGCTTAAATCATCTTTTGGAAAACTTAGTTTGAAACATTATTACAAATCCTATGTGTCATATTTTAATATTTGTATACTGTGTTGTAAAAAATAAATTATACTAGATAATACTGGTTAATTTTGTATAAGCGAATAAAATATATAATTAAATATAAAAAAAAATATTACGCATTATAATCCAGTGTTTGACAAGACACTGGATTAAGAGGACTGTGTAATAGAGTATTAATTATAAATTGATAAAAAAAAATCATCAATCTTGTCTAATTATTAATATTTTTGTTTATTTTGTGGGTAAAATAGTAAATTTATAACTAAAACTGGATTATAAAACTACCTCCTCATATGATATAATAATCGGTTCAATAACACGGACATAATGTATTATTTGGATAAACATTTGAAACAAGACTATATATAATACGAAATATTAACCAAATACAATATAAGATTGAATTAAAGAATTTTAATATATTATAATTTTGTAATTTACTTTTTAATACCACAACCGAACGACAACCTGGGTAAAAAATGAGGTTATGTTTGATAGTTGAAATCGGTATAACTCTTGTCAAATCTAAAATTAACCTCAAAATTTAAAATACGGTTATTAAGAGTCATTTTTCCGTTCATTTTTAATTCTCCCAAGATTTTTCCAATCCCGATCGAGGGGTAAGGATTGATCCATATCAAATTGATCGATTGATTTCTTATGATGCTTATCTCATATAAATGTGATATGAAAAATACTATTTGAATAGAATTTAGGGACCCAATTCAATACAACTATTAAATTGGTAATGCGCTCCATCTGACATTAAAACTCATAACTAATTCAATGGTTATATTAAAACCATATCATCAAGTTCTCAGATTCGATCCCTATAACATTGCTCATGTGTTATATTCCGTTATACTATTTGATTGTTGAAATTAATTCTTCATCCTAATAATAACAGCGTGCATATAAAACTAACAACAATAAAGAAATTTAGATTCATTTCATTGAGTAAAACCGCCAGCTAGTGGATTTCACAAGAATTTTAGTATTTTTTAATTTATTTTTGAATGATTAAGCTTTGTACTAAAATAGATTTTAAATTTTAATTTTTTTTTGAATCAACTAAATCTACCAATGTGTATAAATTTTGAACATTTAAAAAAAAAAAAACTAGAGAATTCTTCTCGGAGGGGATTCGAATTTCTCTCATCAATGTTACTTTCTAAAAGACTTGAACCTAACATGAAGGGAATGGAATTTTTAATATCTGACAGCGACACACACTATCACACACATACATGCACCAGCGTGTACGGGTCTTTAATTAAGCCGGAGAAACTTTGGCCACCATGGTGGTTATTAGGTTGCAGACTAGGCTAATTCTGTGTGCATTAAATGTGTATACTAAATCATTATTATTCGTTGAATCAGTGGAATTCGCTGATCCAAGGTTTAATGCACCCACTAATCTAACTATTGATAATAATTTGTTACACATTTTTAGTGCACATAGCATTCCACTTTTGACAATTTGAATAGAAGTTTGAAATATTTATATCGAGTTTGTATAAGGTGTTTTTGGACACAAGTTAGATGTGCATAATGCTTTGATTTGATCTCCGATTTTTGGACTCAACTTGGTTCTGACTAGATTTAGAATTTCACGTTCAACACAAAAACTCGATTTATAAGGATGTCGTCCTACTCTTATTTTGGAGATGTTTATAATTATTAGGAGACAAATAACTTAGTTGATAGATCAGACGAGCCACCTATTGAAACTAAACTCGTCACACTAGCAACATATAAACAATTTAATCGTAAATATTCACTTGCTTTATGAAAATTTTGATTTGTGGAGTTGGGTATGAAAGTGTACGTCAACTTGTTTTTACTTTTTATACACTTTAACATGTAAAAGAACATGAAGACCTTCTTTTAGTCCAGGGGATCTCTAGCTTATCTCTTCTATAAGATTCACGCCACTACTTCGCTTGCCTATACATCAGATGGACACTGGGCCACCACCAGCCGCTGCCCCCTCATCCTTATCCTTCGTTTTTTTTGTTTTTGCTATTGAAAAATAAGAGCGGGTATAAAAAAAAACGCCCAAATACTATTTCAATAAATTATTATTGGTAGAATCATGAAGCCCTTAATCGCGTCCGTTACTCATTTCGAGAATAAACAAAGTTAAATTAGTGTAACGATCAATCATCGAATCTCAATGTGAATTTCAAGACTTAAATTTTTAACTATAAGGTTAAAAGTTCGATCTAACTATGGGGTGAAAAGTTCGACCTATATCCTGCCGAAGGACCACCCCTCTTTTTGGTCATCCTTATCTTTCTTAGCTTTGTTGAACACAGAGATGCTAGCATCCGGTGTACAACATACAGATAAAAAAAAAATCTATACAAGTGGTGGGAAGCCGACCATGCTTTATTTGATACGATTGAAAATTAAATGATGAAAAATTATAAGAATAAATAAAACATCATATTTAATAAAGAAGAAAAATTGAAGAATAGAAAAGTGAATGAATTAACTTTCTTTTTAACTCACAAAAAATCATTATCTCCAAAATTACGAAGAAAAGTGGATAAAAAATTAATTATGTACGTTGAAGTGTATGTTTTTTTTATTATATATCCTTTAATATATACATATATTATATTTATATTTATTTATTATATATTATGCATGCATTAATTTTATTTATACATATAATAATAAAATATGTATTTACATTTTTTCATCGTTCCACTGTTTTATTTTATCAAATTCAAAAGAAAAAAAAAATCAACATTTCCTATTTTCTATCCCTTTTACCAAACACAAAAGAGGGAAAAAAAATTTCCTCCTTAAAAGAATATAAAGTGTATCACTCATATTTTTCATCTTTTTATTTTTCCATTCGTCTAATCAACCACACCAACGTTAAAAATGATCTGGATTATAAGTTGAAAATCCAGCACCATGACCTAGTCATCTCTCTCTCTCTGTTATTCCCACATGTAGATAAAATAGGTCACAACGTTGGGGTTAATTTTTGTTCAAGGATTCTCACACACATATTCTAGACAATTTCTCACAAATCCGTCAAATAATTTTTTTCCGTTGATCCGTTCAATTACGTTATTGAATTCTAGAACTATTTGTTGACTTTGAGCTTATGTCCTGTGTTGAAATAGGTCACTCATTTGGGCTGATAATACTTCAAATTGAATCCAACTTTCAAGTTAAGTTACGTAAATTCAAGTTTAAATTTAGTTAAAAAAATTTAAGGACATACAAAACTTAGTTTGAAATATTCGAACCAAATAATTTATAACTTAAATTGAGTTTGGATTTACTTCTAACACACTTCAATCGCCTTGATAAATTCAATTAAGGGTGAGTTGCAAATCATATCCTAAAAGTATTAATGCGGTTCTTATTTGGTCCCCCAAGGTTTGATTTGCTCAACTTAATCTTTAAAATATTGATTTTATTTCTATAAGAGACTCCTGTTTATATTCATCACAAATACTAAATGGTCAATCAAATTCATAAGGGTATTTTCATCTAACTTTTCCATTGCCTTCACCTACTGTTTCATATATTTTTCATGGATTGCGACGGTGGTGTTGGTCCTTGGTGATCTAGGACCAATGTTACAATATATATATATTTTTTTGGTGGGGGGGGGGGGNTTATATTTATATTTATTTATTATATATTATGCATGCATTAATTTTATTTATACATATAATAATAAAATATGTATTTACATTTTTTCATCGTTCCACTGTTTTATTTTATCAAATTCAAAAGAAAAAAAAAATCAACATTTCCTATTTTCTATCCCTTTTACCAAACACAAAAGAGGGAAAAAAAATTTCCTCCTTAAAAGAATATAAAGTGTATCACTCATATTTTTCATCTTTTTATTTTTCCATTCGTCTAATCAACCACACCAACGTTAAAAATGATCTGGATTATAAGTTGAAAATCCAGCACCATGACCTAGTCATCTCTCTCTCTCTGTTATTCCCACATGTAGATAAAATAGGTCACAACGTTGGGGTTAATTTTTGTTCAAGGATTCTCACACACATATTCTAGACAATTTCTCACAAATCCGTCAAATAATTTTTTTCCGTTGATCCGTTCAATTACGTTATTGAATTCTAGAACTATTTGTTGACTTTGAGCTTATGTCCTGTGTTGAAATAGGTCACTCATTTGGGCTGATAATACTTCAAATTGAATCCAACTTTCAAGTTAAGTTACGTAAATTCAAGTTTAAATTTAGTTAAAAAAATTTAAGGACATACAAAACTTAGTTTGAAATATTCGAACCAAATAATTTATAACTTAAATTGAGTTTGGATTTACTTCTAACACACTTCAATCGCCTTGATAAATTCAATTAAGGGTGAGTTGCAAATCATATCCTAAAAGTATTAATGCGGTTCTTATTTGGTCCCCCAAGGTTTGATTTGCTCAACTTAATCTTTAAAATATTGATTTTATTTCTATAAGAGACTCCTGTTTATATTCATCACAAATACTAAATGGTCAATCAAATTCATAAGGGTATTTTCATCTAACTTTTCCATTGCCTTCACCTACTGTTTCATATATTTTTCATGGATTGCGACGGTGGTGTTGGTCCTTGGTGATCTAGGACCAATGTTACAATATATATATATTTTTTTGGTGGGGGGGGGGGGGGTTTGCAAGAGTACTATAATACTGACAAGAAATTCTAGTAAAAGAAATCCAAGGAATTTTTTATTGTTTTGGGGGTTGCAAGAGTTCAGATAATGAATAGTGCTGAATAAAAAAGGCTAAAATATCTTAAGCACACAAAGAATACGATTTTATATCTGAAAAAGATGAATTCGATCTGAATTTAAAATATTGATTTGATTTATTGATTTAATCAATCATGATCACTGAATGGACTCTTTATCTCAATATTTGTTAGGATTTATTAGCAATTCAATGACTTTGATGATTGAGTCAATTTTTTAAGTTTAAATAATATTTTTTTTTGAAAAAAAAATTAATGTTATTAGAACCTAAAATGTTGATCTTTCATCTAATGATGTGACAGTGATGTGGTATAAATAGTGTTATTATAACTATAACTCTTAAATTTTTTTATTCAAATTCTATTACTTGATAGAGTATTATGTCAACAACTTAGGTAAGATATACCTTTTTAAAAAATTATTGCCTTCATAGAAGATATCAAGTTAGCTATATAAATTTTAGATTTGAATCTCAAATATAGTCCTCGAGTTAACAATATGGTAGCTCATTGGATGGCCAAGTTTAGACTTTATCATCCTTACCTCAGAATTGGGTGGCTAATTTACCACTTGTGTTTGGCGAGTTGATTTTTATTGACGTACATAGTTGAATAACATCTCCTTCCCAAAAAAAGAAAAAAAAAAGAATATTTAATGGGGGGTGAGTGGGACACCACTAATCCAACCAGTGATTTTGTATATAAAATTTGGTAAATTATTTGGTAAGCATATGAAAATTGGGGGGGACAAATGCGTAATTCGAAATCCGGAGCATTTCACATGACGAACTCGGGTTGGCAGCATATCTTGCGCTAGAAGGTAATGAGAGCGATTCATGAAGCTTTATGAACAATCAATAAACTGGTGAGGTTATCGCGAAAGAAACGGACTTCAATCGAGAAAGCAACAAAAGAGTACCGAAAGCAGAAAACAGAAAGACGAAGATATCCGCTAGTTGTTAGATGTCGCAGAGACCCAGGCGCAGGTGCGAGGGCACGGCCATGGGTGCCATCGTTCTCGATCTACGTCCTAGCCTCGGCATCGGTCCTTTCTCTCTCGGTAACCACCAATTTTGTCTACACATCCATTTCTTATCGATTATGATGGAATTAACGGCGATCGCCGTTTAGGGAATCGTTGTTTGTGAATTTGGTTAAGTTACGCGTTAATTTTGATGTCTCCTGAATGATCCTCGGTGCTATAGCATTTGATTAGGTATTTGTTATTGGATTTTTGTTGTTTTGATTTATTGTTCCATCGATGATGGAAAATGTCGAATTTTATAGGGTTTCTCAGCTGGATGAGGGGAATTATGTGCTTCGAATTTATTGATTGGTTTTGATTTTTCTTATGTTAAATGAGATTCGTGTTTGTATGTACTTGTATATAATATTGACTAATGACTGATATTTCGTGCTATTTATTACAGGAATGCCGATATGCGAAGCGTTTGCACAAATAGAGCAGCAGCCTAACATCTACGATGTTGTCCATGTGAAGTACTTTGACGAGGTCTGAGTTGATGGTTTTAATTAATATGACAGTGGTTATGCTTTATGCTGTTTCAAGAGTTCAATTGAGGTGGTTGGGGGATATAAAATGTTTCTGGGGGTGGAAATCTCTCTTCCCCACCTTTATCTTTTCTAATTGTGTATTTTTATAGTTGAGGAAAAACATAAAGGAAGAAGAAAAAACTTATGGGTTTTTTAGTTTCTGATGTCTCTATCAATTCATGATAACAGACCATGTAGTGTCCTAAGATTGATTAATACAAAATTCAACTCTTGCTTAAAGATGATTTTCACTTAAGTGGGTTGATTTGTCTCTGTTTTGTGTGATGTAATGGAAGTAGCCTGTAGTGTCATAATTTCTCATGCGTTTTATTCTTAGAAAGTTCCACTGTTAGTTTACCTTTATTGGCCCCTATTTACTTTTGGCTGTAGAATTGTTGCATGAAAGGAAAATTTGGATTTTTGTTAATTGACATCCACCAGATATACAAAAATAGGATGAAAAATATTAGCAACAGATTCTTTCTGGAGCGCACAAAAACTGCCTCTTGGAAAAAGTAATGCACCGTGGCAAACAGGAGATATATCATGAGAATTGCAACATCTCCACTAAACACAAGCTCGAAATAACTCACTTTTTGCTAGTATACGCAACACATGCAAATATGCTAGACAACACTTGGTCAGATGAACACAAATTGGCTGTTAAAGACTAACACATAACACAACAAGCCCTAAGAGGGATAGAGTCCAGAAACTGAAACTCCTTCTGAACATCTGTCCACTTGACATGCGTGCTCGTCATGTATGCGAATAGGTAGGCGATTAGTGTGGAGTGTGGTGGGATCCTTTATTTTATAAACACATAAAAGCCATGTGTCTTTAACCCATCTACCTGGTCCCTCGTAAACATGATTGTTTGTTCCTGCTAACTTGTTCGTTATTTACCTTTTCTTGTCTGTTTTGAACTAAAAAGTTTTACTGAATGATGCTAAATAATTCTTTACTGAAATTTTTTAGTTTGCTCTTGGGGCTTGGGTTAACATCTCATCAATTGGTTTAGACGGCTTATATGGACTCTTATGAATCATGGTTCTTAGAAATCTGCCAAAAAATATTATTTTTGTAGCTATAAGTGTACAGGTTCCTGTTGTAATAGTTAGTCTTTAATGATTGCTGCCACCTTATTGAGATTTTGGATTCAAAACTTGTAGCATAGATTCAAAATTTCATTAATTGCTAATGCTTCTTGTTAATTTTTTTTGTTGTTATTACTATATGCTTGGACTTTTTGACGTAGTGATTTGACTAAATTATTTCTTGCATGATCTTTGAACCTTTTTCTGAATCTCATTTAATAGATCAGACCAATAACTTTTGGCAATGATGCTAAGACTCTTCTTTCCCTTCTATTCCACCCTCTTCTTATTCATTTCAATGTTTAATTTAGTTGTGGTTATTTGCCAATTTATTACTACATGGAGAGTATTCTGTGCCATGTGAATACTTGTGTTTGGTATCAGTGTAGTTTTGAATAATTAATATCTCAATCCATGTGGTTCGACTCCCAGAGTACAAGGAAAACAGTTGTTTGCTGCTATACAATATGCCTATAAATTTGTGCAGAATTTGGTTATACCGTCATACTAAGTAAGATACTTAGATGTAGATGTTTTCTTCCTTTCCTCTTGGATTCATTTAATAGTCGTGAGATGGACATCCAATTCATATGTACATGTCTTAGATACTCTTGCTGCAATTACTATTGATACTAAATGTCGTGGCGACAGCCTTATTCACCCCTAGTTGTTATCAGGTGAAGTGTCTAGAATATTGATTGTCACGAGTCATGATAGTGGTGCCACCCCATATGATTATGCTTGTTTTTTCAGGAGCCTTTAAAATTGGACATCGTTATAAGTTTCCCAGATCATGGTTTTCATCTTCGATTTGATCCGTGGTCACAGGTATCCTTTTCTTCCGTGCCTTTCATGTTGTCTTTTCTTGACGGTCTTTGTTCGTTTAGCAGCTTTGTTTAGATGACCAGGAAACGTGAAAAGTATTATATTCTATTGATCTCCAAAATTTGTTGTGATGAATACCTCAATGTTGATGACTTTGCACTGTTGTCACAAATTACCCAATATTCTGGCACGTTTTTATTATCTGCTCCTATTTATATATTTCATCCATTGTCCTATCATGCATTTTTTGAACACTACAAGGGTACAATATTTCTTAATATTTGTTGGAAACAAGCTTCTTAGATGGTTGGTGTTAGGATGCTGCTACTGGGTCCTTTTGTAATTTAAAGAAAGTAAGGGACTTTATGACCCTATCATATGATATGATAATTTAGAAGATGCCCCTGTGCAACCTTTTGGGAGCATGTCAGATGAGAGATCAGCTGGTCTCTCTTGCTTCCGGGTGGCAATAGCTTTCTATGCTGCTGCTTGCAGGTTAAAGTCATCTCAAAGATGCTCCTGTGCAACCTTGTGGGATCATGTTAAATGAGAGATCAGCTGGTCTCTCTTGCTTCCGTGTGGCAGTAGCTTTCAATGCTGCTGGTTGCAGGTTAAAGTCAACTCAAGATCTGCGCTCTCTCTCCCACCCTCTCCCACTCTCTCTCTGTCACACACACACACACACACACACACATATATATATTATAAATATGTTTACATGCATATACATGTATATATATTAAGACATAGAATTTACGTGTATATATCTATGAAATGGGTCTAAATAGGATACTTTGGGTTACTTTTATATCTTACATGTACTTTCTATAAGGGTGGTTGTTTTGTGATTTTCTGGAAGCTACAACAATACAACAAAATTAATATCAGTGAAAAAAATCTCTTTCTTTGGATATTTGTCTTGGAGATTTCTGTTCAATTTTGTTCATAGTTTTGTTTTGGAGTATTAATTGTTCTCCACATGTCAGTAGTGTCTTCGCATGATCTTTAATCTTTTGTCAGCAGATTTTCCGACTTTTGAATTTATGCATCATAGATTGTTGATATTAATAAATGAAATAGATTGATTGACTTAGTATTGTACTCTGTCAGAGGCTGCGGCTTGTAGAAATTTTTGATGTGAAACGACTTCAAATGCGCTATGCTACTTCTCTGATTGGGTGAGTTTGATGAATTTTATCTGTAATTGTTATTTTCTCTGTTAATGGATTATTCTTAACCCTCTTCTTTACTTTCAGAGGACCATCTACTCTAGCTACTTTTGTAGCTGTCTATGCACTTTTTGGGCCAACATTTCCTGGTATTTATGACAAGGATAGAGGTGTTTACACTCTGTTTTACCCAGTATGTTCTCCAATTACTCAATCCTGACGTAATATTTTCTACCCCGCCGGGGCAGTGTATGCCGTGTGACCCCCCAAAAACATTTCTGACAGTTCGAGGCATTTGCTGCCTGTATTTTGCAGGGTTTGTCCTTTGCTTTCCCAATCCCCTCTCAATATACAGAGTGCTGTCACGATGGAGAAGGTATGTATCTACATTTGTTTTTTCTTAGTCTGCATCTGCATCATCAGTACATTTATTAATCAGTGATTTTTTTTTGACTTGGTCCCTTTTTTCTTTGAAAGCCGAATTACCCTTGGAGTTTCCAGATGGTACAACTCCAGTTACATGCCGTGTCTCTGTATATGATAGCTCTACCGACAGCAAAGTTGGTGTAGGGTCCTTGATGGACAAGGCTTCTGCTCCTCCTTTGCCTGCAGGCAGCCTCTACATGGAAGAAGTGCATGTTAAGGTTTGATCACTTCTTCACAAGCACCAACATGTGATTTAATGCCTTGTGTTTTATTTCTGATATAAAGTTATTGTTTTTATTCGTGTCATTGTTTTTGTTAATTCCAGTGCGCGCTCGTTTTTTTCATATCAGTACAACATTTCTTGCTGGTGTTTTAGTGAAAATGTTAGTTTTGAACCTTTTGCTTGTTTAGAGTTACACCATCTAGACAGGTAGTCCCAGGCTAGCAGAGAAAGGACATGGGGATGACATGCAGATCACCAGTTTAATTTGTAGTTGATCTTTATATAAACACAAGCTAGTGAAATTGGAATCCTATTGCTGGCTTCAAATAGTTATCTTTCCATGTTGGTCTTTATTATCATCCAATAAGTGCATCAACATAATGGTCGTTGGTTGTTGTACTTTGATTTGAACGTGTTTATTATCTCTATTGTCCAGCTAGGGGAAGAATTACGGTTTACTGTTGGTGGCCAGCATATCCCTTTTGGTGCATCACCACAGGTAAGATCTTGTTTTGTTTTACAGTGTAATTTTTTCAAATAATATTTCCCTTTCAAACTCATACACGTCCTAAGAAAATCCCACATGCCACTAGGTTGTTTAACGGGGTAGCAAATACATCCCCACATTGGGTCCGGGCAAACTAGGAAAAACTCCATACATGGGAAAAAGGCTTTATTTCTTTGCAGTTACTTGTAATTATCAAATTTGTTTGCATGACACTTGGGATGGAATTTTTTTGAATTTGATTGAGAAAATATTTAAAGAATGAAATCTGGTCTAAATTTGTACTGCAGGCTGCGATGTAGTTGAACTATTTGGAAGAATGTGAATTGTGATGAGATTATTTATTTTGGCAGTCATCTTTCCAAATTGAATCTTGACTAATTTAGCAATGATAAAATTACCCTCAATTGACCGAAGAATTTAGTTTTGTAGCAGTGGATTCGATCTATACTATTGTTACAGGACTCCTTAAATTGGAGTGACATTAACTTTTGTTCTCTTGTATGCTCACTGAAGGTTAGCAGGTAAATATTTACTAGGAGAGTGAAAGTTGGCTGCAAGCTGCTTGGTCATGTACCATACCCCTTTTTTTTCATCTTTTTCCTAGTAGGTTGATGAAGACCAGTTGTAAGCCTCTTTAACTGTCCGTAAATCTCGCTCTTCTAGGTGCACAATCTTACACACGTTGACAGGTCATTGTTTCATTGGTTGCCTTTCCCTTCTTTTCCCTATTCTTTTTTATTGGTTAAGGAAAGTAGGAGAATTTACTTGTTCTCATGATCTGTGTCGTTGTGCCACCCTCCTAAGCATATATACTCAGTTGATTTCCATGTTTTCCTATTCTTTAGTAACACACTTAACATTTTGGATTGTTTTTATCTTCTAGTTAAAATTAAAATTATGTTTTCATTGTGTTGATCTCTTGTTTCAGTGTGTGATCCATTTTTTTCTTGTTTTATGCAGGATGTGTGGACTGAATTAGGTCGCCCTTGTGGAATTCATCAAAAACAGGTAATGCTGAGTACTCTGTTGTCATATCCACTGGTTGTTACTATAGATTTGAGCTGCATATATAAAGCCATATGAATTGTGTTTTGAAAGCATTGAATTACTCTTATGTTAAATGTCATTACCTCGCTTAGTCTCTGGCAGAGTGCTTAGAGGGGTGGTCTGGGATCTAACCTTTGGTATTATTTGCACAAAATGGCTGCCCTCAGACCTGGTGGTTGCCAGCCGAAACAGTTTTCATTGCGTTTGGCAATGACCCATATGGCATAACCTTCATTTTTATACGTGTCTTGATCCATTCCTAATGGGCATTGTGAAACTTGAGCTGTTGATGGACTCGTAGATACTCTTAAATTGGCATGTGTTTATCTTAGCAAGTCATGGGCTTCCGGGGTCCAAAACAATTGGGGGATATTGATTTGTTAGTTGTACAGGTAGATCAAATGGTCATTCATTCAGCTTCAGATCCTCGGCCGCGGACAACCCTATGTGGTGATTATTTCTACAATTATTTCACCCGTGGCTTGGACATATTATTTGATGGGCAGGTACTTTATTCCTTTCTTGCTGCTGATACATGTGCTGCCATTAATTTTTGCGATGTGAATTTCTGAGATTGTTGTATTACTTGCTTACTTGCAGACACACAAAATCAAGAAGTTTGTTTTGCATACCAACTATCCTGGGCATGCAGATTTTAACTCATACATGAAGTGCAATTTTGTTATTCACAGTTCTGATTGTAAGTTCATTGTGGCTACAGGTGGCTTTCTATTAGTTTTGCTCATGTATATGGTAATTGAATTTATTTATTTATTTTTTAAATTGTCTGCAGTTGGTGGTTCTTTTCATCAGGATGTAAATACCTCTAAACGCACCATTACACCCAGCACAAAGTGGGAGCAAGTGAAGGTGATTTTTGTTTCCCTCTTAACCATCAAAACCTTTTATGTGGAATGATTCCTCCTTCCATGTATGTGCATATGGGAGGACGAGTACAATTTGTCTAATGGTTCAGGTGTAAATTTTTTCCCCTTTCTTCTTTTATGGTGCTTCCATTACAATATTTTCATATTGGGAACTTGAAGCCCATGGTTCAATGACGCTGGCGTTCAGTGTGGGTTGTAGGTGTTCTCATATTTCTCTTGGTGAATTTTGATCACTTCCAAATTTAGCAACCCCACAACTCCTAACAAAAAGAGGGAGAAAAAAAACCAGTCCTTCCCACAGTTTAAAGCATTAAAAAAATTTCAATACGTGTTGGACATCAAGCCTTTTCTTCTCATGCTTCACTTTTGTTGGTTATCAATAATAGTTAAAAGGATCATTCTTCTGCAGGAAAGTTTTAAATTTGCTAATCTTCATTTGTTTGTGTATTGTCAAACTGTCGTGATCTTTCCTTCTGTCTCCTTTCATGCTTCTGTGTAGTAGTGATGGAATTGTTGTTCTGTAGGAGATTCTTGGGGACTGTGGTCGAGCTGCTATCCAAACACAAGGCTCTACGAGCAATCCTTTCGGATCTACTTTTGTATATGGTTATCAAAATGTTGCCTTTGAGGTGAATCAACGACAAAAAATTGACGCATTATCCATTCCTCAACTCACTAAGATGCAGTTGATCGTTTCCTGCGAAATTTGTTTTTTGCATTTTGGGCATTCTTCTCTTTTCTGTTTGGTTTTGAAGCTATGGTATCCATAAGGAGTGCTTACAAGGATTTTTCTGATATTAGCAGGTCATGAAGAATGGTCACATAGCTACTGTAACCCTCTTCCAGTCGTGATGAAATATTTCATGGTATGTGGCTTTTGCATATCCCTTCAGCAATGCTCTGTGTCTTTGTAAAGTGGAAGTCTTTCATGTATAGTGTTCGTTGGTTTATTCAAGCTGGTAATGCTTCTTTGGGCATAGACTTACTTCTAGAAAGGGTGAATTATGGTGTTTTGCTTGCAATCACAAATTCAGCTTTTCCGACTCAAATGAGTGTGCTTTTGTTTGGTGCTGGTTACATTTAGGTTTTGAAGGAAGTGTCCAAAATCCTAGAAGATTTGAGCCCACATCTTTTGAATGACATGCAACAGACTTTCACAGCACAACTATTCGCATGTCCAAATTTGTACCTGCTGTCATTTAAAACTCGTAGTTCTGTCACTTTAGTGACGTCAAATTTCACTGTGATTATTTGTCATTTTTCTTGTAAGAAGCATAATGTTACAAGTTAAATTGGCCCTTCAGGCTTTACGTAACTTCTTTTCTGTGGGGTTGTGCCCTTTTTGGTCGAGGTGGGGGTCGCTGAGGGAGTAAGTTTTGCTATTTTGATGAAATAATAATACTATTTGAATCTAATTCGTTGACGTACAATGGATCCTCATCCAATATGGGAGTCACTGTCAATCTAATGACAACCGAATGAGATCCAAATATTACTACTCTTGATGATATCCTAGTGCTTTGTTCTCTTTGCTTATGCAGGTTGATCTGGTTGGACATTGGTGTTCTGGCAGGGTGCAGTGGTGTTGTACAGTGGACTGGTGATAAAGCAGCCAGAACTGCTTGCAATAATAATCATGATGGAGGCAGTGATAATTGTACAGTTTGTCACAATTTGTACAAATGGTCTGTAAATATTATGACATGTAACTTACGACACCCCGTGTAACGAGGAGCGTTTGTGGACTGCAATGGCCTCGGCCTCTCAAATGGGATGTTGTATTAGTTCCAGTCTTTTAATTTAACTTGGCATGCCTCTAAGCTTGCATAGGTTCATTTTCCTTGATAGCATTCAGGCATGCGCATATTTCCGATGGTGGATTTTTCTTGTTATACTCTGCATGCCCCTCTTGAAATATGTAAAATAGGCTTCATGGTTCCTCGAATTTTTTAGTTTTCATGACTTCCCGGTAGAGTAAAATCTAATTCCAAAGTAATTCTGGTTGCTTGAATGTTTGGAGGTGGTTTTGGTGTTTTTATTGTCATATGAATATTGGGTTGTTCATTTGGAAGGCCGTGTTATGCAGTATAGGCTTCCCTGAGCTTCAGCGTGAGTTTGATCAATTGGAACAACTCGCTATGCGTACCTTGCATAGAGAATTTCATCACTTTTATCTGTTGTGTGATGATGTGATATAAGGTAACTTGTACGTCCCTCCGGGCAATTGAAGCTGTTCATGTTGACTTATTGAGGGTAATGGGAATCCATAAAAACCTTAAAAGGAGCTAAGAATTACATTTGGGTTACACACTAGTTTTATAGATCAATACGTGTGACATCGATGAATTAGCACAACCATTCGTGTCCATCAATGAAGTCGAGCGAAATAAATGGTTCAGCCTCTTGTTGAGTGAGCTGCCTGGACCATGACACCCTCCCTCCAAAATCAGACCCTGGTCCTGAACACTTGAATTGCCCATAAAATACCGTCCTGCACAGCATTACAATTATCTGAATTAGCACTATTCCTGATAATTGAAATCCGTGTAGAGAGAGAGAGAGAGAGAGAGAGAGAGAGAGAGAGAGAGNTTGGCCCTTCAGGCTTTACGTAACTTCTTTTCTGTGGGGTTGTGCCCTTTTTGGTCGAGGTGGGGGTCGCTGAGGGAGTAAGTTTTGCTATTTTGATGAAATAATAATACTATTTGAATCTAATTCGTTGACGTACAATGGATCCTCATCCAATATGGGAGTCACTGTCAATCTAATGACAACCGAATGAGATCCAAATATTACTACTCTTGATGATATCCTAGTGCTTTGTTCTCTTTGCTTATGCAGGTTGATCTGGTTGGACATTGGTGTTCTGGCAGGGTGCAGTGGTGTTGTACAGTGGACTGGTGATAAAGCAGCCAGAACTGCTTGCAATAATAATCATGATGGAGGCAGTGATAATTGTACAGTTTGTCACAATTTGTACAAATGGTCTGTAAATATTATGACATGTAACTTACGACACCCCGTGTAACGAGGAGCGTTTGTGGACTGCAATGGCCTCGGCCTCTCAAATGGGATGTTGTATTAGTTCCAGTCTTTTAATTTAACTTGGCATGCCTCTAAGCTTGCATAGGTTCATTTTCCTTGATAGCATTCAGGCATGCGCATATTTCCGATGGTGGATTTTTCTTGTTATACTCTGCATGCCCCTCTTGAAATATGTAAAATAGGCTTCATGGTTCCTCGAATTTTTTAGTTTTCATGACTTCCCGGTAGAGTAAAATCTAATTCCAAAGTAATTCTGGTTGCTTGAATGTTTGGAGGTGGTTTTGGTGTTTTTATTGTCATATGAATATTGGGTTGTTCATTTGGAAGGCCGTGTTATGCAGTATAGGCTTCCCTGAGCTTCAGCGTGAGTTTGATCAATTGGAACAACTCGCTATGCGTACCTTGCATAGAGAATTTCATCACTTTTATCTGTTGTGTGATGATGTGATATAAGGTAACTTGTACGTCCCTCCGGGCAATTGAAGCTGTTCATGTTGACTTATTGAGGGTAATGGGAATCCATAAAAACCTTAAAAGGAGCTAAGAATTACATTTGGGTTACACACTAGTTTTATAGATCAATACGTGTGACATCGATGAATTAGCACAACCATTCGTGTCCATCAATGAAGTCGAGCGAAATAAATGGTTCAGCCTCTTGTTGAGTGAGCTGCCTGGACCATGACACCCTCCCTCCAAAATCAGACCCTGGTCCTGAACACTTGAATTGCCCATAAAATACCGTCCTGCACAGCATTACAATTATCTGAATTAGCACTATTCCTGATAATTGAAATCCGTGTAGAGAGAGAGAGAGAGAGAGAGAGAGAGAGAGAGAGAGAGTCACACATTTCCCTGGTCTTGTCTCCCCAATTGTACCACCCTCTAGGGGTGATGATTTTATCCATGTAAGTATAAGCAAAGACCACCCTAGAGAAACTTCCCCAGGCCCTGCCCAGGTAGAGTGCACCTGACCCTGTAACCCTGCAATGAACAAAGGAGAAGCCCGTTTCCTCAAGCGAGCTCTCCCTCTTCTGGGCTGTCAAGGCTCCATAGCTATTGGTTTTGGCATGTAGATGGCATCTCTCGTAGAGTGAGAGGCCGTTGCCGAAGATGAAATCCACAGAACCTTGGATGTAACAGTCTTTGAAGTAGTGTCTGCCTCTGTCATCATAAAGGGTGTCTTGTGCTCCGATTATCCTGCAACTTATGAAAGCCGCCGTGTCGGCCGAGATTCGTAGGGCTACCGCTTGCTTTCCGAGGGCGCCTGATGGTGGTGATGGAGCATTATTCTAAGCAGATCACACGAAAAAGCATGCATGACGAGAAATGTCATTACAAAGAAAGAAATATGATAGAGAGAAGTTGATAACCCGTTAAACGGTTGCGTTATAGCCTAAAACCACAAGTTATTATGTTTGGATGCAAAATATAGGGGGTTAGAATGTCACTGACTCAAAACCACGTAGATATAAAATGTAATTTAGCTAAAATAATTTTGCTAACTATCAATTGGGATATGTTGCAGCAGCCAGGGCTGACATTTATACGTAAATGAGCCTAAAAAAGCTAAAAAATTTGGCTCTAAAACGGTTGAGCTATTTAGATTCAACTCATTTTTTTGACTTATCTAGAAAAGTGAGCTCAATAGACTCCAACTCGCAAAGTTAGGCTTTATTAACTGCCTCGCAGCAGACAGGCAGACCTTGAAGGTGATATTTTTGGCGATGAAGTAAGGAGAATTAACGGCAAATGTTGCAGACGCATAGGTTCCCAATGGCTGCCCATTCTGTCCAATCCGGTCCGCCGTGTCGTCCCACTGGATTATCGTCTTCTCTGCATCAGCTCCTTCCAGGCAAACGTACGACATGGTTGCCGGAATTTCAACCTTTTCCCTACATTTTTCAACCAAAATTAAAAGGGGAAAAAAAATAAAATTCAACTGCATGTAACGTGGAAGAAAACAAAAAGTACAAACAACAATGCAAAGGAAAGAAGTCTGTGATTAATACCTGTAAGTCCCTGCACTAATGGAGATAACAACCCGGCAGAAATTAACGAGTGGGAGTGAATTTATAGCCTTTTGCACCGAAACAAAGTCTCCTAATCTTGGGTTTTTATCAACTTTTATGGTTTTGCAAGGTTTAAACTTGTTTTTTGCTCTGTCGAAGAGATCAGAGTGCTTGAAAGAGCAACCACCACCCATTTGTTTAACCCACTTTGTGTAGGCTTCGTCACTCACTACTGTCAACGTAATAGAACTGTTGAAAGGAGATGAAAAATTTGCGACGATATTGGCCAATAGTATCAACAAAAGCAGCTTTGGTTTCATTGTCTGTCGATACCATGGAATTTGGGTATTTTGGAATTTGGATTGGAGCTAAATGCTGGTAGAGCACGATATTTGAAATGGCAAGTGAAACTTGAATAAAGGTGAAAGCTATCAAAACGACAGGTCGGGGAAGGAGAATGGCATGTAGAGCAATCTGACAGTGTGGTTTCTCCCCAACCCTCTCCCCCAAACTCATAAAAAGAGGTCCGAATAAGTTCAGTGTTTAGTTGAGTTTGTATCGACTTTTATACTTGACAAATTTTGTGAATTCTCTCATTAAAACTCATTAAGGTCAGACCAAATATATTAATTTGAGTCGAATTTCGTATCAAGTTATGCCGGTTGTGTCTAAAATTGTGCTTGCCCCAACCCCCACACAAACATTTATGAAAATCTATGTGCATAGCAAGATGGGCATTGGGCCCTAGTAATTGGGTATGACATATTGACAAACAAATAAGGAAAAAGGCAAAAAAATTGAAGGACCAAAAAAAAAAAAGAAAGAAAGAAGAATTGTTCATTGGTCGAGACTACAGCAAAACCTTTGAATATATGCAGTTTCTTCTTATAGTATGTGGAGCCAAGGTGCCAACATGGTCAGAGAAAGAAGAAAGGAAGTGGTATGTTATGGGAAAAGGGCATGGTGGGTGATGACAAAAGGTAGTCGAAATGAATCATGTTAGAGAAGCGTCATAGACAGTCAATTTAAGAAAGACAGCACCATGTCACTTCAAATAGTGGGGAAGAGAAGTCTTCAATGAACCTAGTCATCACAAAACTTTTTTTAGATTCCTTAGCAAGAATTTCGTATACTAACCGTCTTATATTTTGAAAATTAAATTAAAATCAATGAATTACCTATTCTATAATAGTTGATAGATTAATTCTCCTACTTTTCTTGCCCTAACGCATAGTCATCTGACCAATAAAAAGTATTGTCGTTGAGGACATGAGAAAAAAGAAAACATATTTAATACAATAGTGATACCACGTCAGTATCTGTGACAGTATATCATTAACTAATAATATGTAAATAAATAAGAAAATGAGTCCCACATAAGTCAATAATTACCTATTCATATAAGTCAATAACTATCAATTCTTTTTCTATGTAAACCAACAACTACTCAAGTGGAGTTCATTTTACCTATTTAAAATTTTATTATTAGTTGATGATATCATATCATCAAATACAGATATGATATCATTGTTGCATTGAATATTTTCTCTAGAAAAAGAGGGGTTATCAGCCTAAAAAGATAGAAACAAATAATTCGATTGACTACTTCTCCTAATATGCATTATGTTAAACACATTCTTACACTATGGTTGGGTTCTAGGGAAGAATGGAGGACTCTACGAGCTTGAAAGCGGAACTTTGGGCCATCCTCAAGGGCCTTGAACTCATCCAAAGTAGAGGGTTAGGACCAATGGTGATCGAAACAGATATCCTTGAGTTATCAAATCTTCTTATTTCTAAGCCACAAGAAACACACCCCAGCAAAGCCCTTATTGCCAAGTGTTTTCAACTGATGGAGGCGAACAAAATTCATATTATGCATACACGCAGGGAAGAAAACTAGTGTGTTAATTTTCTTGCTAACTTGGGTCCAACAATAAGATGCCATGGTAGTTCTTGAAGATCCCCCACCTCAACTAGGGAGACTACTGAATGCAGATTTAACTAGTGTTGCGTTTACTAGGAAGTCTATTTAGTTTTGGTCTATCTTTCCAATGTATCCAAAAAAAAAAAAAAAAAGAAGATAAGATGTCTTGTGAGATTGAGAGCATGATATGTAAAAATGTTAAGGATGAGAGGTTAAAAGGAAGAGAACAAAGGATTAGAACTATTAACAGGTACCAAATTTTATTAAGAGACTATTTATATAATAAAGTACAATACAATTCAAATTTCAAAATATAAACAAAATAATTTTTATTTTTTACGGTTGAGTTCTCTTTAAATTTTACTTTAAAATTAATCCGACGATTAATATTAACAACTCAAATTTAATAAGAAAAATAGGTCCATAAATATGTATTTAAGATAATTTTTTAAAAATACTTATAGGATTTATAACTTTTCATAAGTATTTTAAAAAAAATTTGTATTTAAAATTGTCCCACCACTACCCTCACTGCCCCATCACTACTACTACCACCACCATCACCACCACCACTATTATTACTACCACCACCACCACCACCGCCACTACCCCTACCACCACC